ATTTATAATATATAGTATAACAACAAATTACTAAAAAGAAAGGAAGGAAGAAAGAAGGAAGAGAGAAAATAAAAAGACTAAGCTCACATATATATGAGTGTATCAAATGATTCTTGGGTCTTCATTTGACTTATTTAAACATTTTTTTATGAAGAATGGAAAGGGTATGTGCATTGTTATTTAAAGAGACCCTGTCCCCCATGGAATGGTCTGATGTCCTATTCACCCCATGGCACGAATGTATCACACAGCCACACTGTGGAGTTAGAGTGGCAGCCTTAATCATTCTATAAACTCTGAGACCCTTTCTAGGCTCAGGAAGTAAAATGATGCGTGACCAATGGACTGTGTTTTTCCATGGACATCTGAGGAGGGAGAAGCAGCATAAATGCTGCGTCTATATCATCCCATAGCTGGGGCACATGCATGATTTCTAACTCTCTTTATATCATGGCGGGGGGGGGGGATGGAAATCAGCATTTTGTTTCTGGCTTCATAATGTCATCGGTGTTAAGCCTCCTTGACTTCCTTGATCATCCCCTTAAAAAGACCATCACTTAGTCCCAGGAAGATTTAAAGTCCAATTCAAGCAAAGAAAATGGTTTCTTTTTATAACCCAAGATGATTCGACATGTTTACTTTCATCCTTAGAAAACTGTCCTGCCTGTTCTTTCCCCAGTGTGTCCAGAATAACCGATTTTTCCCTCCAAATGCACTGTGACTTATTACTAAGAAGACTCCTTCTTCTGACCTAATTCCTCCCCCTTGAACAATAAACAGTTCTCTTTGGAGGCTTGCCCTTGACAAGGGGGTCCGAACTGAGAACGGTCCGCCTCAGTCTCCTCATTCGAATCCACTTTGGGAATCCACTAATTATTTTCAGTACTGTGTAGATCTTCAGTAAATTACAATATGCACATAAGCTCTCTACATCATCTAAAGAGCTGAAAGCTGAATGACCAGCACACCCGAGGAGTGGTATACTGGTTGGAAAGTTGTGGCCACAGGTGGTTTGCTCGGAGTGGTTGAAAAGAGATTGAACTCTATCTGCATCTGGATCTTACTGCCTCCTTGTGAGGTGTTGATGGGTGCAGATCTGGCCCACCCAACTGGATGAAGCCCTAGAGAGGAGAAGAAGTAGGGATGAGTTGTGTTGTTGATGCTTTGAGAGTCGGAAAATAGGATTCAAGGGCAGCAGATGGTTTACAGATTCACTGTGAGATTTACAGCCTCAGCCTTTGGTTTTGCTTCAGGAGCATTTTCTTGTAGGCACTGTTTTCACAGATTTCAAGGCCAACCAGAGAGGTATTTTATTTTTCCACAAACTGAGGAAAGCATTATTTATTTATTTCAGTGGTACTGAGAACTCTGTGTGTGGTGTTCATAAATGCTTGTCTCATCTACCTATTTATTGATAGTCCTGTGGTATTTTCCCATTGCTCCTTCATATATGTTTTTAGGATTCTATTTCCATGGCAGGGGATGGCCACGTAAGCATGTGGCAGGTGATTAATTGTGTAGTGGAGGAAGAGATCTGTGTGCATACATATGTGTATCGTAAGATAATTAAAGGGACCTATTCATTTATTTTCCATTTGTCCTAAGAGCATAAACTACCCAGCTGTCAAACCCACTGTTATTTGTTCACTATAATGGCCATCTTGCAGATCAACTCTATTAATTCTATTAATTAATAAAATAATTATTTTTATTAATTTTATCATGTTTCTACCATGTACCAGACTCTGGGGTAAAATAAAGCTTGGGGTGCTTAATGAGCATGACTGATGCAATTTCTGTCCTAATGAGATCGTTCATCTAAGAATTTGTTTAAAAAGGAAAGTCTTTCACATGGTTACCAATATTCAGGGAATTTGACGAAAATAAGTTGATAAATTCTTGGTAATTGGAAATGCCTTATCTGTGTGCCATCATATGTTTCCAGAGCAATACCAGAGCATTTTTATGATGGAATTTGCATCTAATCAGTTTTTACAAACTAGAAATATACAGCCAACAACATGTACTCTAACAATGTGGTTTTAGGAAGTTGTGAGCAAATGAGCAAATGGTAGTATGCCTTATTTCATACTAATACTTTTTCTGAAAAATACAAAAGTAAAACTTGGTTATTAGTCATTACTGTTTTTTGAAAGAAAGTTAATAATTGCTTTTTCTAACCTTTGAATTGAACTACCTACTTTACTTACATTAGATTGGTTCTGCAACTTTTGGTCCCATTTATGTTCTGTGAATGCAAGATTAGAGAATGTGCTTAACGTCACATGGGAGCATTTCATCCACTGAAGTAAACATTGATGATAGAAGATGTTTGCCTCTAAACAATAATGCATCATAGCATGTAGAGTGTCTAACAAATATAAGGGTTTGCTCTAAACTCTTGGCTATCACTTTCATAGCCGGAGTAGCCTTTTAAAAAGCCAGGGATGTCTAACCATTTCACACATTTTACTCTGGTATAGAAATACTCTGGAATTTTGTAAAGAAATCAAGAGCTGTTGATTTTTAGAGAAGTCCATTTCTGACACTCTTTTTTCCTCCAACATCTATTACGTCAAAGTCAAAAAAGCATGTTTAACCTATGAGCCAAGCAAGGTGGTGGGGTGTCTCTCAAAGCTGCCCAAACAACATAAAACTGCTAACAAGAGGTGTTTGTGAGTTGTTAGCCCTCTTGTTCTTAACTCACTCAACTCTCAGAAACTCCAGAAACAGAAATAGCAGAGACCAAGCCTCCTGGCAGATGTGTTATTTTAATCTTTTTTTTTTTTTAAAGATTTATTTATTTGACAGACAATGAGAGAGGGAACACAAGCAGGGGAGTGGGAGAGGGAGAAGCAGGCCTCCTGCCGAGTAGGGAGCCTGAGGCGGGGCTCCATCCCAGGACCCTGGGATCGTCACCCAAGCCGAAGGTAGACGCTTAATGACCGAGCCCCCAGGAGCCCCTAATCTTAAGTATATTTGAGAAAATGTTTGGAAGTTAGAGGTCCCTGACATGAGCCACAGTGGCCATTGGATGATGCAAGGAGGGCTTCTTTCTCCAGTATATGCATTCTAGGAATAACATGAGGGAAGAAGGCAGCCTAGCTTGGAACCTCCAGAATAAAAGTAGAAAGAGGGTAAATAAATATCTCTTGGGACAAAAAGTACAGAATCTAGGAAAGATGGTTCAGCGTTACTAGATAAAAGGGAAATGTGGGACTTAGGGTAAGAGACAGTTGTGGCATTTTTCAAAAGCAAACAGCGATATAAATAAAAGTCAAACATTTTATAATTTCTGGTATGAGAAGTTTAAATACAAGTTGGTAAAGTTTTCCTAACTTGTTTAGAATCAGATAGAGCTGACTCTGCTAGATCCATGACTTGAAGTTGGCTTAACACAAGCCTCAGATCAACAACTGTCAGCATTTTTGTACTTTAAAAGGTCAGTCACTGGGGCGCCTGGGTGACTCAGTTGGTTAAGCGTCTGCCTTTGGCTGAGGTCACAGTCCTGGGGTCCTGGAGAGCCTGCTTCTCCCTCTCCCTCTGCAACAGCACCCCCCCCCCCCCCCTGCCCGGCTCATGTCCTCTCTCTCAATAAATAAAATCTTAAAAAAAAAAAGTTAAGCATTCTTATCTGATCCTTTAAAATTGTAGCAAGGCTCAAGAAAACTTTGCATCACAATGTAATGGATCTACTCTTAGAACATTTGCATGACTCATGATGTTCTTTCTGTTTTTGAAGATTTTGCAAAGCAGTAGATTCCCCTTCACGGGAATTGAAATCTATTTCCTGCTTCTTTCGTGTGTGGTGCACTATGAACTGCCTCTCTGTGTCTCGCGGTGCGATATTCTCTTTCTTCCACCTTCACCTAGCACGGGCTCAAAATCACGACAGTGTCACTGGACTACAAGTAATTGCTAAGTAAATTTTCCTGTGAATTCCTGCCTTTTTAGTTTATTTCTGTACAGCCATTTTGAATGCGTACGGAAAGTAACATCTACCTCATAACAATGCCTTGTCTACACCTCCCATTACCGTAGTGACCGCTCTTTGTGCGGAAAACAGAACATTTTTATTTTGATGCTGTTCTTGCTTACAGATTCAACTCTTACATGGACATGAAATGTATCCCTGTGTTGAAATCAACCGTTATTTTTAAGGTCGCCCTGCTTTCTTTATTTTAGGTAGTATATGAAATTGATCCTGAAATCCACCTAGTCTGTAAAAGGGCTACAGGGAATATAGAAAAGAAAGCTGCTTCTAGGTAAAGAGGCAGGAGCTGTGGTGCAAGAGGAGAGCACTGGTCTTAACTCGGCTCTTCCTGGCCCTATTAATGGGATGGAAAATACGCTGAACTTGACAATCCCAGTGTGGGACCACTGGCAACTGTCTTCACCGCTGTGAATCTCAACTTTGTTGCCTAGAAAACGGAGATAATACCCCATTATCTGGAAAATGGGGAGGATGTCTACCTCACCTATTTCTCAGGGATGTTGAGAGGGTTAAATAAGCCAATAGGTGAGAAAGTGCTGTGCAAACTGAAAAGTGCGGTCCAAACATCAGATTCCACGGTGGTAACTTTTTACCAGGTAGGAAGACTAAGCAGTAGACTGTGCAAAAAGCTTCAGTGTGACCGCTCTTTCCTTCTTTGGAAATCTCTCCTCAAACTGCGTCTGACTCATATATGTTTATAGTTTTCGAAGCTCTTTGATTTAGAGCTGGAACCACTTCATTGTAAATATATAGCACTATGTGCACATCACCCTCGAGGCCAGTGTCCAGCTCACTGTAGAAAAAGCTTTAGTTCAGGGGAAAAAGACTGGAGGCAAGTCTTAGTGATTGCTCACGCGTTAGTGACAAGACCAGTAGCCCAGAGCCGACATTCACTAGGCACCTACACAAGATTCTCTTGTAACCAGCATTAAATTATGTCATGAAACCTTTTAAAATTAATCAAAATTAACATCTTCTCTTTTGTTTTACCTTTTCTTTTTAAAAGCCGCTTACGATGTTTTCTCAAGCCCTGCGACATCAGATGAGCCTGAAATGTCAGAACCCCACACAGGTACATCCAGCTTCTCAAGGCTTTCTTTGGATGCCAGATAATTCTGACAGCACTGCACCTACTTCTCGCTTTGATCTTTGCAGAGTGAGAAAGCACAGCCTTTAGAGCTCTGTGGGAGGGAAATGGTTGTCTGTGTCAGGGAGATGAATTCCACCCATTTCTCTGTTGAGTGGTTATTTCTTTATATCCATCAGTAATAATCTCTGCCACATGTGCGAGATGCAGATAGATTTGGTTGCCACTGAGCCAAAGTCATGTAATGGCCTATTGCTCTATTATCAATAGCATTCGAAGAAGGTTTTAGGTTCTTAGAGAGTTTTCTGTAGAGCAGTGGTTCTCAAATGTCTCAATGCCTAGAGACATTTTCGATTGTCACAACTGGGGAAGGTGGTAATGACATCAAGTGGGTAGAGACCAGGGATACTGCCAAACCCCTGCAAATATACAGGACAGCCCCTCTCCCCCCACCCAACAAGGAATTATCCATCCCTAAATGGCAGTGGTACTGAGGTGAAAAATCCTGCCCTAGAGCAATCATGTCATTCATTTGTCTATTGAAGTCCAGTTGGGTCTAATCTTTAACATTCACTCACTGATCCTTCTACAAATGAGTTTAACTCAATCTAATAGTTCCTTTTAGCAAGAATTTATTAAGCACCTACTAAACTAGGTACCATGAGAGATTCAGAGTAAATATGACTGGTCTCGGGCACCTGGGTGGCTCAGTTGGTTAAGCGACTGCCTTCGGCTCAGGTCATGATCCTGGAGTCCTGGGATCGGGTCCCACATCAGGCTCCCTGCTCAGCGGGGAGTCTGCTTCTCCCTCTGACCCTCCCCCCTCTCATGTGCTCTCTCTCTCTCTCTCTCATTCTTGCTCTCTCAAGTAAGTAAGTAAATAAAATCTTTAAAAAAAATATGACTGGTCTCTGCTAGACATAGATATATATCTTATATTTTTTGTATATTTATCCTTATCTTGGCATTATTTGTGCCCTGATAAAGGCAAATAATTTTAAATAGCAGCAGAAAATAAGGGGAAAAAATGAAATAGAATGCTAACAGTGGGTTTGGCTCGTAGTTAAGAAACAAAAGTGAGAAACCAGAAAAACCAGTTGAAAACAAGTTAAATATATGCAACATTGTTTTTATCATGGTTTTTAATGTTTAAAGTATGTATGTTTTGAAAAGTGAGTTCATCTTCAGCTCCTAATAAATCACTAGTTTAAAAATGTTGGTCACCTCTCCTTCAAGTGTTCATGATACTTTTCCCCATCTGAGGCATAATTTATTACTCATGAATTTGTGTTTTATTCTTGGGGCCTTCTGCTTTTATAAATGTTGACATTTATTCCAACAGCAACAAGTGATCCATTTCTGGACTCTGTCCCACCTAAAACTTCTAGAACTCTTGAACAGCCAAGGGCAACACTGGGTAATGTTTTTAACAGAAAAACCCTACTTTATTTTCCATCAAAAGAAAATCCATGTGAATGCCATTCTTCCAAATGACCATTTCATTCCATCACATCTAATCATTTATTTTGTTCTTATTTCTGAATGTATTTTTTTTTTTTTTTTTTTTTTTGCTGTAATGCAGGCAACTTATGTTCCATTTTGGGCATTCTCTCTCTCTCTCTTTTGAACTGTAATAGATGATCATTTTTTCCATCTTTAAAGGAATGAAAAGCTTTGAAAACTGCATGGACCTCTTCGTCATCCATATCATCTCATTTCATTCATGTGTTTGTGGCCTGTATCATCTCTCTTCCATGCACTGAGCCTGCCTGGAGTCAGCCACTGAACAGTTGTCATTCTGACCTTTTCTCTTCTTTAAATCATGATTTCATCCACCAGCTTTTAAGACTACATGCATTTTTCATACTTAATCATGTACGTGTAGCATGTGCTTTGTAATACCATCTAAAAGCATGTTAAAACTCCTAAAATACCTCATTGTAACTGGAATTACTTGGTGGGTGGGGTGTTTGTGTTTTCAGCTCCAAGTGAAACACCATTTGTCCCTCAAAAACTGGAAATCTTTACCAGTCCTGCAATGCCACCTACAACATCTGGTAACTAATGACATTTTTATGGTTGTGTACTTTGAAAGAACAGAGAAAGTGTTGTTGGACCTCCAGAATATTTTCAATAGTAAACATTTCCCTTCATTCTCTACCATGAAATTCTTCCAAGAACTGGGTTATCTGTCAAACTTTGCCTTGGGATAATTCTCAAAGAATTCCCATAATCTTGGTGTCCATATATTTAAAGAGATATTTTCTTTCTGTAATCCTTTCAACTTTGCTTACCAGAAAACTGCAATGGAATTACAGATGATAATTATTTGGGGCTATAGTTCCTTCTCTTTAGCACAATTAGATACCACCTGGTCAGAGTATTTTTCTCAAAGTCGTCTAAATATAAAGAGCACCAAGTAGGTTCTGCAATGAGGAAATATGGGTAAAAGAACTAACACAGCCTATATTCTCTAATAGAAAATTATTTGAATAATGAAGTCCATTAACTCCTGCAGAGGCTAGTCATGAGCTACAGAATTAAAGCAGTTCAGAACTTCCATTCTCAAATTCCACATATTTGTGCTTCTCCCCAGTTGTTCAGTAAATTATCTTTTGCATTCTTAATTCTACCTTGTGTTCTTAAATCCCTTAAGAGTGCCTACTTCCCAGTACTTGTAGCTCAACAATGTACCTTCAGTTTTTATATAGACAATTCATTTTGGCCCCACACACATTTATTGAGCATCTACTGTGTATAAAGCACAGTGCTGGGCATTTTGGGGATACAAAGAAATAAAAAGTAGTTCTTGTATTCAAGAAGTTTACAAATTTACAGTTATAACCTGATTGGCCCCTGAAAAATATTTCTTATCAAAGCTATATTAAATCTTCTTTCAGCTGCCCAGCAAACTACATCTATCCCTTCTACACCTAAACGACGCGTCAGGCCCAAACCACCAAGAACCAAACCTGGTAAATAACTGCCTCTTTAACCTCTCAGGGTATTTAAATCCAAATAGAGAATGTCCATCTCCTTATCATAGGAAGAGGTTATATGATTCTATAGGTCAAATTTTCTTTACAAAATTTGAAAATTACTGAAGATGAATAATTCAAAATAACAGAAGTCAATTTTTCAAGAAGACTTTATTGAAAATTATGTCAGTGATGTTCTTGCGTGTGAATTTTGGTATAAACCCAGAAACAAGTCCTAATGTCACAGTGCTAGAGAGTAAGATATATAGTGAAATTCATTTCCTTGGTATGCGTGTATATTTAGGTTTTTATTAGGTTGACAGTCCTTGTTTTGGGTGCCTGCTATGTTTTCAGCTTTGAACAGGGGCAGTGGCTAACAGGAGAGACCATGACTCCCTCTGTCCAATTGCTTATAATCTTAGAAAGATCTTATGGCATAAAGAATGAGATCAACATAAAACTATACAATCTTCTTATGAGACTATAATACTTGTATGGAAGCTCAGAGAAAAAAAGAGTTGAGGATGTAAGTCTCAAAATATGTGTAGGGTTCAGACAAATTAGAAGGCAGAGGGAACAACATAAACATACATTATGGCACAGAATTTGCATGGAACAGCTAGCTTCTCTGGAAGTAATATTTTTCATTGTCAAATAGTACACTCAGAATCATGCTCAACAAATCAAGTTTTGCTTATTCCATGGTAGGATAAATACAGTTTTTTATAGCCTTTACTACTATGACTGAACTTACAAATTATTTGCCAAAACTTATACTCACTGCATTTGTAAACCCTGACAGCTAAATATGACAGGATTTCGAAAGGGTCATTTAGTTCTTCTTGGCATGATAGCTTTTTATTGTCTCTAGGATATCTTAATTTTTTTTTCCTTTCCATCACCAGAAAGAACCACAAGTCCTGGGACAATTACACCTAAAATTCCTAAAAGCCCTGAACCTACATGGACAACGCTGGGTAATGATATGTCCTTGGTAGATGCGTTACTTCATTTGACCATGAAAATCCAGTGCTTTAGCTTTTGTGTAATGTCTCAGTCTCTGTTCTAATTGATTCATTTTAACAATATTGAGAATCTCATAAATTACAGCAGCTTGGTGGCTTTCATGGTTTTTGGTAGGTGGCCCCACAGTCAGTACATGTGAACTCCGCATCCAGCTATCATCCCGTTCCTTGGAACGCTGGCAAACCACCATGGCCGCCTCCTCTTCCATCCACCATTGTATGTGAAGCGGAGTCTTAAACACAGTCCTCCACTTTTTTTGAGGGAGGCCCTCGAGTTCAAGCTCAGACTTCCTTTGGAGGAACAGTATTCTATTATGATGTTAGTAGAATTTCTTTATACTGCAGACCATGGCATTTTACCTACCAGTGATTATTCATTTTAAAACATGCCTAAAGACTTGGATGTGGCTGAGAAATGTGAAGTAAGGGTACAAGATGATTATATTGATTTTTTTTTTAAATAATGCAATAGAATAATTTTCTTTGTGTAGTTACTGTGGCTATTTATAGCAATGCTGTTTCTGTTAGTTCAAATATACTCTTGAAATGTTTTTTTCCAAACCAGATGAAAATTTATCACTGTTTTTCCATTAAATGCTGGTCTGTGAAATAGTCTTTCAAATGGAATATTTCCAAAAACCTTCCAAGATGATGGGTTCGTTCCATTTAAAGTATAGGTTTTCCTTTTGTGGTTTTAGACACTGAAATGCTTAAATATTGATTTGTTGATTATTTTCTTTACTTTTCCAGCTCCCAGTAAAACACAATTTATTTCTTTGAAACCTAAAATTCCTCTCACCCCAGAAGGGACACCCACCAAACCTGGTAATTACCCTGAACTTTTTTTTTTTAATTCCAAAAGTAGGGTTGAAAAATTGTTTCATGCCACTCTTTGGAGCAATGACTTCTGATTTGTATTTTGTTATTTGATACAATTTTTCCATGGAAAGTGCAAAAATGCATTGAAATGATCTCATTATAACCAGCCCCTCTGATATTATCACAGTGTTGTTCTGAGCTGTTGGGTGGATCTTTCTGTTCATGACTATCACAGAAAATATAGAAATAGAGGGATGTGAGTGATTGAGGACTCCATTGTCTAGGACCAAGAAATAGTTTCCAATACCAGAGTGGACTGGAATTCTGATCACACTGAACAATAGCCTTTCAGCATGAAAGGGGAGAAGTGTTTCCATCCCCTAAAAACTCTGCCTTTGTTTTAGGGCTTCTCAGTTCTCTAGCTGCAAGATTAGAAAAAGTCGGATTCTCCTAATGCTCCAAGACTTCTTTCTGAGATGAAGCTGATTTCTGAACACTGACTTTTGTTTACTTCTCAGGAGATAATGATGTTTTGCTGAAGAAAAGAAGGCTCTTTCACAGGGAGAGGTTATTTCATTTACGTAATTAATAACAGAGACAGTCCCCTGCATATAGATGGCCGGACATATTGAATGACAAAACTTTTCATTTTTTTCTATCTATTCAGAATCTCTACAGCAGTTTAAATATTGACTTCTAAGTATCCCCTTATATACAAGAACTCTGTCAATAAAAATCATTTTCCTCCAAATTTTAAACCCTTATCTCCAGGGTTTTTCTCACTATCACATTCTATGGATTTTTCATTAATGGGTGTTTACAAAGTTGGATCATTAAAACAAAAGATTTTCTACTTAAATGGGTATGATTTATTTTTTTTTGCAGTGAAATGGGTAAGGAAGAAGAATGTAACTGCTCAGAAAAAGAAATCTCAAGACTCCTTTTAAAGAGGCAGTGAGATTTCCAGGTGTAGGTGTCAGACTGGAGGAAATTGGGGATTAGGCAAAGGGAGTGTAGTTGACTCTGTGACCATGGGTGAGGTCTACAAGTCAGAGAAATGGAATGAAGTATTCTTACTCAGAGGGGTTATTTGGAGAAAGAAGCATAGCTAATGAAACTCAAGAACCTTAACAGTTTAAATCAAAGAACTTCAACAGCTGTATGAGAGAAGGGTTTAATGTATGTTTATTTAAAAATCATGCTTAGAGGGCTTTGGAAAAAGGTCATAACTGTTATACTTAGGCTGTACTTTGAAGAGAGGGCTATTACCAAGCAGATTGAGACATATTACCGAGTGTTTAGACCACCAAATATAAATAAATGTCTCTCCAATCTAAGTATTTCTGTTATTACACCAAGATAAAATTTGAAAAGAGCAAAAAAAAAAAAAAAAGCCTTCAGATATTCCTAACAGTTTAAACATGATTAGTTACATTAGTAATTTCACTGGTTTCTAAAGAAATGTTTAGAAGAAATTCATTCATACAAATAAGGGGAGAGGATGTGTTCTTATCATTCTAAGCTGTTTGAGCAAAGAGACTTCTTAATTTGACATTTCCTTTTACCACGTGGCAAATCATTTGAAAGCTAATGAGTTTATATTCCTCTGATTTCTACCTTCTGATCACCTAAGAAAAGCCTCGCTTTTCCCCCTCGCATGAAGTATTATGACTTCAAATCTGCACCTAAATTTACATCCACTTAAGTTGACCTCTGGTGGTCTGAGGCAACACAGAGTAACTAATCTCTGCAAACCAGTACTTGGGTTCTAGCTCTTTAAAATGTATTTATTTTTACTTTAAGGCAGGCCACCATTATAGCTCTGTGGAAGATTTCTGTTGCTAGCCAAGGTTCAGGAGAGCAAAGAAACCACCAGACGCTTTTTTCACTTGAGTGATTCATTGTTTTTCCCCGCCCTCTCCTCACACGCTGTTATTTTTCCATCTCACTTTCCATGCAGATTGCTTTTCCTTTGGTTTTCCTTTGTGGTTAAACTAACAAGTAAAAACCCACATTGGATTTGGCTTGTTTTATAACATAATCCACCCCTTTCTTGAAAATCCCACCATCTATCATGTCCCAACTTGTCTGCCTCCAATGAAAACTGCTTCCTTCATAGTTAACCTTTAAGATGGCAGGGACATTCAGCTCTTCAGGCTTTTAACAGACTAGGAAAAAAAAAAAAGGAGAGACTTCCAATTATAGATGTTTTTTTTTACACAGTTCTCTGACACAGTGGATAGAATTGTAAATTTTTCTCATTGCTAGTCACAAATCATGAGCCAGGTGTATTTTTCTTTTGTGCTGAGGTGAGTGGTGTAGTTATTTGCTTGCCGCTTAACATTTTTATTCCTTTATCCACAATACCTTAAAATTATAAAATAGAGGAAACCTTGTCAGAAGATGTATTTGCTTTTAATAAACGCTGACTTTAGTATTTCTCTGTACAGGTGAATTGGAAGCTTAACTGAGGGCCCCATACCTATTTGATCTCCGTTTCAGTCAGGAACTCAAAAATGCAGATTTTTCTTTAGAAAATTCATAAGACCACATTCTTTAATCTCTGGAAATTCTAAAAGATGCTACAAGTAGCAAATCTTACTTTTTCACAGTTTTAGAAGGCAACTTGGTAGAAATTAAGACATGAATTACAGCCTCAAAATTTCAAAAAGAATTTTTGTTGCTATTTTCAGATATGGACTTTTTTGATAGTTATTATATTTAATGTATTGACACTTACTATTTATTTACCCTATCTCCTGTAGAATCTGAGACACCCAGACTCCTTCCACCCTCTCTCTTTTTCTCTTTTTCTCTTACACACAACACACACACACACACACACACACACACACACACACACGATTTTTGCCTTGCTATGTGTACTTCAATCTGATATATCACTTCGGCTTTGCCATTTATCTATTTTAATCTATTTCTGGATAAATTCTTGAGAAATAAAAAAAATTTATTTTTGGCCACAGACATGCTAATGCCACCTTTCAGTAACACCTTGTACCTATTATACATTGCTTTCAGAATAAATGAAAATTCTCTACCTGCAATATTTGTTGGTATATTTTCTATTTTCTAGATACTAAAGAGTCTCTACTTACTTCCCCAAATCTTTCCACAGCCCCTAGTCCAGAAACATCATCCTGGTAAATGTAGTATAAAAAATATAAGTGGGGCGCCTGGGTGGCTCAGTCGTTAAGCGTCTGCCTTCGGCTCCGGTCATGATCCCAGGGTCCTGGGATCGAGCCCCACATTGGGCTCCCTGCTCCGCGGGAAGCCTGCTTCTCCCTCTCCCACTCTCCCTGCTTGTGTTCCCTCTCTCGCTGTGTCTCTCTCTGACAAATAAATAAATAAAATCTTTAAAAAAAAAATAAGTGACAAAATGATTTAAGTTCTTTTAAGCTTGTTGGTGGGTGCTATGTTAATTCCTTCTGTAAGAAAAAAACGGCGAAGAATCTTCACTTTTTCTTTTTCAAAAATTGAATTCCTTTTTTATATTCTTCTTGAAAGAGAAGAATTCTTTTCTGTAGAATAAGAAATCTATTAGATGATCATTTTAAAAGCACAAACAGATATTGTAACCAAACTGTATTCAGCATGAAGTATCATTTAATTACTGCCAATTTGAAAAACTTTGGAAGGATTGTTATCTTTCAGAATATTTAAATAATATTTTATTAAGTGATGAAATCTGAGCTTACTTTTTGACTTTGATTTGCTAACCAGAATGGACTAATTTTCATATGTAAACCAATTTGTTCACCAGCAATAAATGCTAGTTAATATGAGGAACAACATAGGAATACTTGAGGCCCTTTATACCTTTTTAAACCACATGTTCAATTCCTTTGTGTGTGTGTGTGTGTGTGTGTGTGTGTGTGTGTGAAAGAGTATCAGGTCCAGCCAGGTTGAAAATCATCCAAAACTAACAGATCTCAGACCTGCTTATAGGTCTGATGTTTCTGTTGCCTCTTCCCACTTCTTTGGATGAACCTCACCATCCTACGTGAAAACAAAATGGCAGGTAATGGGACACTCTGGCCAACCTTGGAGAGGCTATCCTGAGCTCCCCTTAGAGCAATATCTCCTCAGGCACTAGGAGGAAACTTCAGAATATTGGGTAGTGGAGAAAATAGCTAAAAATCAACAAAAAACCGAATTCTCATTTCTTAGTTTTATTGTGGTTTGTGGAAAGGATGTGGGTTGATTGATCGTTAGTGTAATAAGCCATAGCATCTGATTGTTCACCAGTGAAAGAACAGCTTTTAGAGTAAAGGACATTTAATTTCTGTCTTAAATGGTGATCTTCAGCATGGCCTTTGATAATAACTGTTTTATTGCAGCCTCAGAACCTCAGACTCTACCACCATCACAGTCAACTCGAGGCAATGAATCAAATTGCCTTTGATGAGTGAAAAAGAAACCTCTTCCTTTAGTACCCTTTATGTTCAATTTTGTCCTTAGCTCGGGCTTTTTAAAAATTTCTTAATTGTCCTTCAGGTCTTTATTTAAGCCATTTTGGTCAGAAGATACAGTCTTCGCTTGTGCTTTACTAAGCAGAGGTTCTGAAAACCGTACTGATTTTGATCGGACACATTCTGTGTCATCCTCCTTGTATTTGAGTACTGTGTCCTGAGCTTATTTTAACCTAGCTGTTTCCAGGGGAGGACCTTGGTTTACTTCTTTTTGTAGACATTTTTGTGTTTTCACATTCAGAGGTGTTTATCTTACTTTCAAAACTAACATTCGCAGATTTTCTTGAAAAGTAGTAGGATCTTTCCAGATCTAAACATCCTGATGTGTCACTAGACAATTCATTAAGAGAAATAGAAAACCTAACCCCAATATTTATAGCTTCTTTTTCTTCAAGAGAGCAAAAAATGTGTTCTGCTGGTGCCATCTCAGCCAATTACCCATATTTTCCTTCATAACACAAACTTTTGGTCACTTTATTGCATTCATGTCCTCCAAATGAGAATCATGCTTTCGTTTGTTTGTTTTCTCCATTTCTCCTTCCAAACTTAACTGACAAGACTACATTTTTGTTCATTTCGTCTAAAAACACAGGAATCTATTTAAATAAAAAAGGACTATCTCACATGGGTAAAAGTTTCACCATTTATAATCGCTCAACTTTGTAATGAGAAATCAAGGATTTTTCATATCTAAATAGGTTTCATCATTTTTCCTTTGATTTTGATTCTTTCCTGATGGTTTTCATGCACTCTTAGGACCTGGAACTCTGGAAACCAAACCTTCAACATTCGATAATACAGTTATTCAGTGAGCTTTGTTTCCTCTTTTCCTGTCTGCTGGTATCTTAGGACCAGGCTCACATCAATGGAATCATCCATTGATATCCATTTGTGTGCGTGTGTTCTTTGTTCTGACTTGCAGAGAAAAAAAATTTTAATTCTTTAGTTTTATAAACTGTATCTCATTTTTAAAAAGTTGTCTTGCCTGAAATAACTTCTGAATTCAAAGCCTTTTTATACATGCTGTGTTAACTTGTAAACTTTTTAATGCTAAATGAAAAACTTCTCCTTTTGAATCTTAGGGCAAATAAATTTTAATTTGTATCCCTAGTGGCTCCTTAAAGGTGCCTTTCTCATGTTCCTGTTAAACATACACCATCAAAACTTTCAGGAGACTGTCTTCTCTAAGGTCTACAAAGTTTTGAGTTTTCCATCTCAAAATGGAAGAATAGGGAGCTCTTTAACGTACGTAGGTACGTTAAAGACCTCATTTAACTGGGTAAATGAGGATAGGAAGTTGCAAAACAGAAGGGTATATACCCACAATAAGCCAAAGGACTTAAATGCGCTTCTAAGGTATATGTAGTATTGTTGTCAGTTTTTAGAGCTACTGCTCTTGTATTAACTAGCTAATTTTCTTTCTTCAGCTCCACCAAAGACCAAACGACCAGGTCGTCGCCCCCGCCCTAAAACCACACCTAGTCCAGATGTGCCCAAGTCCAAACCTGGTAAATGTGACGTTCAGGGTTCCAGTTAGCATAGAAAATGGAACATGGTAGTTTTTGATATGTTAGCTTCCTATTACCGAAATAGCTGGGCTTTAAGAACCAGTAGAGTTGATTTTTATATTTAAGCATATATCCTTCCTATGTTTATGATATATTGTTATTTTTTACTTGTAACTATTAGGTACACACAGGAGTAGGCTGCCCACCAAGTGGATTATTAAAGTAGGGCACCCTAAAAATCTCACATAGGATGCGGGTTTATGGCAAATGGGGTGTGGGAAAGCAAGAGGAAGAGGGGGTAAACGGGAAAAGTAGAAGGGAAAATCACATTCAGAAAACATAGGGCTTAAGAATGAGGAGTAATATTTCCTTCCTCAAGATGCTGCTGCTTGATATAATTAGTGTTCTTGCTTTTTGCTTCCCTAGCTCTGGAACCTGCTACAGTACCTCTGGAGCTCTTGGTGCCCACAATCGGTAATTCTACTCTCCTCCAGTTGCTTTCACGGAATGTCACTTTTGCTTTTCCTACTCTCCACCCAGGCATGACTGCAGTTCCACCACTCCATCACAATTTCATTCCATGCTTTTCCTCACGTTTCCTATCTGGGTCTGAAGAGCCTGAAGATAGGAGACTTCTAGAAGAATCCTACCTGTGTGCTCCTTTAAGGAAGGTCTGTGGTCTTAGATGCAACTTCTTGGCTCCCCACAAACCCTTTCTCCTTCCATGTCCTTCTGTCGGGAAAACCTTCTACTCTTTCTCAGACAGGGACTTCTGTGCTCATCCTGGACTTGACAAAGGGTAAAATTTTATTCCAGTGCCATGATTATCATTTCATTGCTTTACTCATTCAACTTGTAAGATCTTTTCCCTCTTAAAAAGCTGCATGAAATAATGGCTTCTTCAGCTTTCTGTTTCTTTGAAGAATGTTTTTGAGTATATTTTGATAACTAGAGACATAAACACCGTTCTTGTTCTGGGGTCAAATATGAAAATAGTGTGGTCTTTGTAACTTGAGAACATTAGAAGTCCCAAACTTGTTTTATTGTTTTGGGTACTAATGCTATTTGACTGTTATTATTTCATTATAATTTCTCAGCATTCACAATAAATCTGCTTTACTTTGGAAAATTCCAGAAATCTGTAGCCATGTCACCTTCTGTATAATTTAAAGTGTTTGTGGATTATTTTCCAGGTCTCCTACAAATAAGCAAGTTTCAAATTTCTACTTAATATTTTTATGCTGTAAAACCTTAGAATTAAGAAAGAAAACTATTGTACTTGTCATCGCTGAAATTACTTTTATAGAAAAAAAGTCTTATTATCGTTCTATTACTTTGCTCAAAGGCACATTTTGAGCATTTCCTAAAGATTTTTCCTTTCTGAAAAAGCAGGAGAAATGGACACATTTCCCATCCTTCCCATACCCCAGGAAGCAATTTTGTTGTATATCCAGTGAATTTATATAGGATCTTTGCTCAAGCATATGTGTCTTTAATTATGACAGTTACGGCTATGATCATTATGCTAATTTTTAATACCTTTCTCTTTAGCATCAAAACCATCCAAAAGACCTAAAACCACACATAGACCAGATGCATCTCAAATCCAGCCTGGTAATCACTACTTTCATTGCCTTGATCTATAACTAGGAAAATGGTGTGTAAGTAACACTAATCTTGACATTCACAGCTCTGCTATGACACTAATTATAGGAACTTCCTTCAGATTCAAAACCACCAAAGCAATTACTTCCTAAACCCCAAACCCCAGCACAACCAGATACGCCACCAACTAAACCTGGTAAACACGATTTCCAGTGCTTTAGTTTAAGAAGCTTTTTCTTTGGGAATGTTGTTGAAAATGTTTACAATTTGCCATACTCTATAAAGCATAGAAAACAAAATATTATTTTGTTCATTATCTTTTCAAAGTAACTACATCAATTGTTAAATGAACAAACCAATGTGTAGGAAGTTAGTGAATTTCACATCTGATAGTCTGACAGGTTCCACTTTCTTAACATTTTTAGACTTTGTTTTCTGAACTTGGGTATGTAATAGAAACCTGATTTTTCTGTACCTGAAACATATTTGAAAGTGATTTTAGCATTCACCACTAGGTAAGACTGGGAAGGCTGACACTGTGTTCATGCTTTATAGGCACATAATCAGAGAGTGACTTTCTCTAAAATACCTTAATGACATTTTAAACAGCAGCTATTACCTAAGTGATTTCCTTTGAAATAAGATATTTATATAACAGTTCTAAAAATTCAACTGTTTTGCAATTGAAATTTTCTCCTAAGGTTCCAGTTAGTACAAAATTCTGATTTAGTAAGAATATCTCTCATAATAAGCTTATGAAGAAGGCAATTTATATCAACTTAGAATAAACCAGGTTCTGTATCCTATGAATTAAGCATCAGTGAGCACGTGAAAGTTTAGACCTCTTTATTTTGCTTACTTGTATCTGTTTATTTTTTATGATGCAGTCTTTAAGCCTGTTACATTTGAGACGGAAGCTCCCTCTCCAACCATAGGTAATGATGTCTTCCTTCTTGGTTGACGTTTCTCTGAGCTCGCCCCTCTCCTCTCTGTCATGAACTGCATTCTCTTATGTATATGATGGTCATTCATCATCTTTTTCATTCATTATTTTCAACAGGGAACTTTTCAACATCAAAAGACATTCTTACTTCTGCTGCTCAGTTTATAACCCCTGAATGACATTCTTCCTTTGATCACGTTCAGAGGATTCAGATTGCTTGCAGCAACTGACGCTGTCAAGAGTCGCAGGGGCTGAGAGCACATCCATCCTGCAATCCAGGAAATCTTTGAGATTTCTGCTTTTATGTGTCTATAGTATATGGTTATGGGAGAGAAGCAGTTAAAAAGCTGGTTGGGGCTTGAGACAATACCTAATTGTTCCTTTCTCGCAAAAGTCCATTCCTCTTTAATTCTGTACTATTCAAATGCACCAGGACGTTTCTGCTGACAAATTCATCTTGTGACACTGATTTCCAAGCAAAACAGGGATCCTCTTTTTTGTTTGAAGGCAATCAGTTTTGGATATCGTTGCATCCTGTTGCGCTCGCTTTTTCCATCTCTTCTGTGGGCCATGTTTTCCATTAATTCCCTATAAGATGTTGTCAGATGTGGCTTAAACCAACTGCTGTGACATATTAGTCAGCGAAAGGCAATCTCCATACAAATGCTCACAGTGTTTTCATGATAAGATGTTAAATGTTACATTTAGTCTTCTGGACTTAATGAAAAATAGAGACGCCAGTTTTTAAATCCGAGGAATTACACATCACGATTAATTTAATATCTATGCATAATTCAATCATTTCAGAATATTATAGAATTACAGGAATCCTGTTTATATAGACAAAAAGTTGAATTATTACTCTTCAGACTTTTTTCTTAATCATCTCTATTGCCCACTTGAAGAATTATCCCCAAATTTTTCATTTGAAATAAAAAAATAATAAAGAGTACCCCATTTATTATGGAGAAAAGGCACAAGTTTATCTTCTGCATAACTGTCACACATCTCCAATAAACAGGCTAATTGAGAACATTTTTAAAGATTCTCCTCACTACCGCAGTTGCTCAAAACAAGTAACAATGGTGGTGAAAGCCTTCCAAATACTAACAGAAGCTTTTGCAGTTTTTCAGAGTAATTTAAAATACATATTAGACAACTGAGATGTTTTTAGAACCAAGTTTCCAATGTAGTTGGAATCAGATAATTAAATACAGAAAAAAGCTTTTCATTGGCCTCATAGGGATGCAAAATACAAAAGGTTTGTCTATTTTATGAGATAAATGGATACCAGAGTACAGCCAGTTATTAGAGACCAAATACTATTTTACAGTGTTCAGAAATGCGTTTTAAATATTACAGGGTAAAGAAGATTCATTTTCAAGATATTTTCCTTCTTTTTGTATATTTCTTAAATCTCTGTTGTTTATTGCTTTTGGTCAGTTCCTGCCACAGACCTTGAACCTGTAACTCTGAGAACTGAGACTCCCACGACAACGTTAGGTAATGACTTTTTATCTTTAAGCAAGTGCATTTTCTGCCCATTGTCTAGTCTTGTTGCTATTTTGGTCAAGGGGTTTTCTTTTTCTAAGATTTTCTCATCTCCCTCTCTTGTCACTCAACTCTATTCTTCATTTTGAATGTTGAGGATGTTTAAAAGAAGTTATTCAGTTAGTTACTTGGTTAAGCCTGTATGCAGCTAGTATAGAGCATCTATCTTCCATATTATCCAGCTTTATTGGTGCTTTACAGAGCCTGTGATTCTGCTCAGTGTTCTGTGGCAAAGCTAAATTTCAAATACAATTAGGAGTGGCTACTCTAAAACATCAATTTTAATTCTATGGACACGGATAGAAGGTTGTGTTAAGATAGGCAGGGCATTTTTATTGTCTACCAATGATTTTAAGAAAAGAAATGTGCTTATTCTAATGTTTAATGGGAGGTATGTCTAAGGTAAATAATTTCTAAGTACGATCTCCCAAAAGCAGGTGAGCCTGGGTCCCTCTCTGATATGGACGTGCTGTGTTTCTGGGGTCAGGATCCCTTTTGAAAATCTGACACCAATAATAATAAACTTTTTGGATTATTAGAATAATGTTATACACTCTTTATCAAAAGAACAGTCAGTGGACGCCCCAAAATTTCTTGCATATAGATGATAAAATTCCAAAACCAAAGAGATAAATTATTAAGGCTTAAAAGAATCTAGCAAAATTTTAGAAAACCTAGACCCACGTATCATCCTTCTTGAGTTTCTGGAGTTATAAGACAACATTAACCAGTTTCCTTTCTTCAGCTCCAAAAACATCACAACGACCAAGAACACGCCGTCCACGTCCCAAACATAAAACCACACCGAGCCCAGCTGCATCTCAGAGCAAACTAGGTAAATATGTGGTTCCTGGTACCTGTGGAACCCTGTGGATGTGATTCTTGTGTGGCAGTTTAACTTGCCACCTAATAGCTCTTGGGACCCTTCGGTGTGAAAGCCTAAGTAACAAGAGCTCTATTTAAATAACTGTGATTTCCTTGTGCTGCTTGGTATCTTCTTGGAACCTTTGTATTTTATTTGCTTTCTCTGAAAAATTATATTTTTCTCTTTGATTCTGGTTTATCAAAAACTTACCTAGTTAAGGATCTAACTAGCGTATTTAGCTCACTTAGTCACACATTTTAAGGGCTACATTAGCATCTGTGAAAAATAGTTTAGAAATAACAAATGACTTCACTTGGTTGAGGAAAGAAATTTCTTATGTAGACACTGTTCATAAATAGATATAAAAGAATATGGGCAGAAGCAACATATTTATTGAGTTTGACCAACTGTCAGGCACACAGTTAATTCTTAGAGAAGAGAAGTAAAAAGTCCGCAAGCCGTTAAGTGTGATGTGGACCTTGAAATGTATAGAGCTTGTAGATCGGTTGCAGGGATAGGCAGGAATCAACAGAGGCAGGGAGGTACCATATGTGTGGGTGAGAGCAGAAGGGTAGGAATTAGAAGGGCAACCTGATTGGGAGAAAGGGGAAAGACAATGTTCGCCTAGCTTCTGCCAAGAAATTTTGGTCCGTGATGCCACTTTGAGATGGGTCCATGAAGAGGACCTTGAATGCCTAATTTCAATGATAGGATTTAAGCCAGTTGGCTACAGCACACTCTCTTTTCCTCCTGGGGTCAGGCCTTTTCTGTCCTGGTAACAGAGAAATGCACTGACAAGTTTTGACGCTGCTCCTCTGTATCTTGTTCTTTTATATGACTTTGTTTGGACAGAAGTCTTGGTCTTCTTCCAAAGTGGACTCTCAACAACAACAACAACAACAACAACAAATCTGTTTTGGTTATTCATTACAGTATCTGCTTAAATATATCAACTGTTTCATCTGTCATGACCTAGGGCCTTGTTTTCCAATAAATTATAGTTTCACATTCTTTTCTCATAATTTTTAATCTTAATGTTCCTAGACAGATGCCTAGAGATTTTTCTAAGCAGCATTTTTTTTATTGTTGTTGTGTTATCAGATAATATAAAAACAAGCAAAACTTGGAGCCATGTGGAGATACTAAGGATATAACCGTTTCATAAGAACAAATATCTTTGTACCCTCACCTCAGAACTTTAAAATTTTTGCTTTTTAGTTGTAGAACCTGTGCCACCAGGTGAAGTTCATTTTCAAGAGAGTTTGATGACTTTTCTCATGTGTTTGACATTTCTTTTTTCAATTACTTTTGATCATTGCTTGCTACAGACTCTGAGCCTATTACTCCTGGGACATATTTAGGTAATGATCATTTATGTCTGTTAGCATGTGCTTTTTCTTATTGTCAAGGTTCTCTGTGGTACTATATAGATGATGATGTCATAATTTGTCATCATCCTATTACAGTATTCAGCTTACAGTGTAAAAGGCTTTCTTTCTAACAGAAATGTGTATGGACTTAATAAAGACCACTATCTGCCCCACATCCCAGCTTCAGACTGCATCATGTCAATCTGAGTCTCTGTTTAAACAGTACTGTTATTAGAGCTAAGGTCCGAATATGATTCTCCATATATCCCCTCCTTAGACCACCAATACAGTATCGATTACGATACCATAAATTTTCTTTAGGCCATCTTACTTTCTATATTTGAAGTTCTCCCTAACTTTTTTTCACTTCGTGGATGTTTCAGCAAATTTTTTATGCTTATTCTAGTAAATTACCAAGTGGAAAATTTGCCCAAGCCTTGTCACTTTAAATCATAATTAGAAGTGAATACCCTAGGGTTGTTTGAACTTCTCTCACGTCATCATATTTTAGGAGCAATTTGTAACCAATTTTGGATTAGGGACACTTTCAAAGAAATGACAGTTCCCCATCTTCATTTCTTAAACATAATTGTATTATAATTTTTAATCTTTGGCGAACTCTCAATTTTAAAAGGAAACCTATTAATATACTAAAGGAGAAAATATCAAACCAAAGTAGCAAAGCTCTCACCACTCAAACTGACAAATTTTAGAAAGCTTAGCTATGTGATATCATCTTATTTAGAGTTTATGGAGCCATCAACACTATATTAATCCTAAATTTTCTTCCTTCAGCTACAACAACAAAGAGACCTCGTCGTCCACGCCCCAAAGCTAAAACCACATCCCATCCAGAAGTACCTCAGACCAAACTGGGTAAATATGTGGTTTCCAGTTTAAGGAATTCAAGCAGTCTACCCCAGTTGGGACCCTAAATTCTGAGGATACCTAGTGTAATATAGTATCACAAACAGAGGTTCTTCCTTACCTTTTTATATCAAATGCCACTCTTTTTGCTAAGGGTTTAGTCTCTCAGTGAGTGTGGTATCAGCTTCCTTTTGGCTATCTGTAGTATGTGCGGTAAACAGACTTTAGGGTGACCCCCTTCTCCCCACCCCTGCTTCGTCCCATTCCCATGCTTCCTGCTTCTTGGTATTAAACAGAGTGTAAGCCATCTTTCCCCTGCTCTTTCCCCCTTAGAAGGCATAGAAGCATTATTTTTACTGGTAAAATGAAGTTTCTGACATTTCATGCGTTCATAAAAATCTCTTTGGTTTCTCTCATTGATTTTGATCCGTTCCTACCACAATCTTTGAACCAGTTATACTTAGAACGGAGGCTCCAGTGACCACACTAGGTAATGACACATTATGTCCATCAGCATCTGCTTTCCCCGCTCATTTGAAACCCATTCCATCACCGTCATAACCATAGCTGCTTCTGCTTCACAAGACTCGCATGTCATCCTCTATTGTCATTCAGTTACTCCTTAATCTATTGGAGAGTATGAAAATCACTCATTTGTTTTCAAAAGAGCCAAATACAAACTTAGTCTAGATTATGCGTCTGCAACGTAGTTCGTGTGAATTTATGGCATCTCACCTCCATGTAACCTATTTTTCTGAGTTTCAAACATATGGGGGCTGGGGGTGAAGATATCTATCCTTGATCTAGGCTGAGTATTGTCACAGCTGTTACAGTGTGACATAATTCTTGAGCAGATCTAAATTCCTACGTTTTTATTTTGTGCATCGTTTTGGTTTTGTTTTGCCATTTTAGGTAATGATGTGGTCTTCTTTCAGTAAAGGCCGAAATAGAAAATATGCTCAATGCTAATTTAAAGTGCCATCATTAGTTTAAATTTACCCTACACCTTCACTGCCACCGCCATAACTCAGTGAAGTTTTGGAACTTTTTTTCATTTAGAGATCCTTATGAAAATATCCTTGACATATAAACTCATGTTTCTGCGTGACTTTTGTCTTCCAGAGTAGTGTGAATGACATAAAGAGACAGTTATTGAAATGGAAGCAAATATCTTAAGCTCAGAGGAAAAATTTTCTGACACTTCAGAAATTAGAACTAGTATACTCCTATCCACAGCTTCTAGCCCTCAGAACACTCTCTTAACCTGAGGTTTTCTTCCTTCAGCTCCCAAAGTGCCTCAACAAACTCATCATCCGCGTCCCAAACCTGAAACCACAGGAGTCCTGAAGCCCTTCAGACTGAACTGTGTAAATGTGTAAATCCTGACTAAGCCCATCCCGTGGGGTCCAGAGAAAATGAGGGAGCAAGTCAGGGTTAGCAGCTTTTTCTACTCTAGAGTAGCCAGTGAGAACGTGGTTGGGGGGCTTTAGGTGGTAGCTGAATTACTTACGCTTGTGAATTAGAATCTTCTCTCTAAATGTTTGATTTCTCATTCAATTCTATTCATCCTTTAAATATTGAACATATGTGGTAGAATGAAATAGCTACAGAACGAATGTATGTTTGGGTAAATAAGAAGTTGTTGTTGTTATGTGCCAGGCACTATTGTCAGTACTTCATTTTTTTCCATTTTTTCCATTTTTTTAAATTTGAATTCAATTAACATATAATGAATTATTGGTTTAAGAGGTAGAGATTATTTCTTGTTAACTACAAAGTTAAGGCATAATGAAGGTCTAGGGCAGAAGTTGGCAAACATTTTCTATAAAGGGCTAGATAGTCAATATTTGGGGCTTTGTGAGCATATTTTGCATATTTTTCCTTTTGTTTTTTTTACAACCACTTAAAGAATGGAAAAAAGTCATCCTTAGCTCTCATGGGCTATATGAAAATAAGCCATGGGTGAGATTTGGCCTATGGGCCATCATTTGTCAACCCTTGATTTAAAGAAACAATAAGGGAAGGACTGAGCGTTGAAATCACCGTAGATCTGGGTGACTGGGGAGTAGGAGGATGGGGAAGTACGCAAGAGACGGACACATGGGCAGGGCCGGTGAGGAGAGACAGAGGCTTCTCTGAGCAGTTGAGGCTGTCCGGTTTCTAAGTGTTGATCAGAACATTTCCCTGAGGCTGCTGCAGCTAAATGGGCCCAAAGGACCAGCTGAAAAGGTATTTTGAATGTTGGACTTAGGAGTTTGAATTTCATGTGAGAATCATCAGTATCTGTATATGGTCATGCTTTCCCCGCTTACCCTGCTAAAGCTCAGACTGAGAGCCTGCCCCTTATCCTGCTCTCTTAGGAGCCTAATCCTAATCCTAAAAGCCTAATCCTATGAGGCAAAGTTTGTTGTCTCTTTCCAAAGATGAGTTTCCAGCAAGACTGGTATGGTCTATTTTGGTACACTAGGTATTTGGTACACTGACACTAGGATCATGAAAGAGTGAGACACTTCACGGGCACTTCACAGGGACAATTGTCTACTACAAAGATAACCCCTACTAAGTGATAAATTGGTACCCAAGTGCAGAGAGACTCCATATCCCTCAACTCAGAAAGTTAATAGATTTTGCTTTGTACTCCAGATGAATTATTACTTAGGTGCAATTATTTTTGCAGTTCTGAGATTGTGTAAATGTTTAACATTTCTTTTTTTCTTTTTTTTTTTTTACTATTTTCGGTCAGTTCCTGCTATAGTCCTTAAACCAGTCACTCCTAAGAAAGGGGCTCCAGGGACTGCATTTGGTAATGCCACTTTCTAACCTTCAGGAAGAGCTTTTCCTGCTCATTGTCAAACCCATTCCACTCATTGCCATTCACTTACATTCTTTATCTTTTGAGTTGAACATGCATAAAACAAATTACTTCTTGTTCTTAAGAAATCCATGCCTGAATCTAGTTTGGGATATCTTCCCGCCCTGTAACTTACTTTAAATTTTTTTCATGCCACCTTCTATTTTCAGCTTAATCTGAATTCTCTGTTAAGGCAAATTTCATATATTCATGTGAGCACCTGATCCTGATCTATGCTAACCAAGCTGTGACAGGGAAGTTTCTTAATATATCCTTTGTACATATATCTTTTTTATCTACCTGTTTTTTTGTTAACTTTTGAGTAACATGTTTTTAGTGAATTGTCTAACAGACACTGTAGTCAAACATAGTAAGTTTAAATAGTAAGCCCCATCCTTAGGGTAAATCTGACTACCCCTTACTCTCCACCATAGTTTAGAAATGATTTTTAACCTTTTTAATGCAGTGGGGGGACTGCATGATATGGTATGATGATATGATAAAGGGGTGCTTGCCTAGCTCAGTCAGTGGAGTGTGTGACTCTTGATCTTGGGGTCACAGGTTTGAGCCCCACGCTGAGTGTAGAGATTACTTTAAAAAATAAAATCTTTAAAAAAATGATAAAAAATACCAATCTTGACTCTCTGAATTAATAACTTCATTTTTATGTCAATTTTGCCCCCCAAAGTATCAATAACAGAAGAAGATACAGTAGCATAGTAGGGGCAAATTTTTCACACTAGAAACATAAATTTTATGAAACTCAAGAAAAATCTGTCAAGCCGTAGAAAACAAAGAATTTTCTTAAACCTCATAATTTGCAGAACCATAAACCTTATCTTTTTCCACTTCCAAAAACATCCCAATGGACACTTCATTCACAAACCAAACTTAAAACCACCCCAAGTCCAGATGAACCTGGGACTACGCCAGATGAAACCTCAGTCCTTGGTTTCGGAGCCTGAGAGCCTGTTACTGGCTGAAAGTGTAAACCCACATACCCTCTAGTGAGGGAATCATGAAGAGTCCTTCCGCCTTCAGGGTTGGCGAGTAGTACATGTTCGGAAGATATATAATGTTTCCTCTAGCTCAGGGTAGTAGGAAACACGTTTTACTTCATCTTCAGGCTAGCTGAACACAGAACCTTTTTCTGCATACAAAGCCTACAGAAGGAAAATAAGGCAGGGTGTTTTTGCAAATTGAAGATTTTGGGGGGTATTTCAACATTAAGTGTTAGGCTCATCATATAAGGTCTTAAAGAAGTAAAGCATCATTTTGGACCTCAGTAGGTCAGGAAAGGAGTTTAAGTCTTGATGTCACATCAGAATTTGTACAAGTGGACAGGTGAGAGTGAACAAAGACAAAAAAAAAAAAAAAAAAAAGGATATATCTAGCGGGAACCAGAGGGGCAGAGGTTCTTCTTCTTTGGAGAGTCAGTCAAAACTTCTTGTTGGTGATTCCACATTTGGATAAAACCACAAGAAATTGAAGGAGGGCTTGAATGTTCCATTCAGGAGTCTGATGTTGTTGTCACAAGCATCAGAAACATTTTCTTTCCACACTGGATGAAGTTTTCCCTGTACCGAGAGTGGACGGCTGCTTTACTGGATGCCAAAGACCGAGTGGTGCCCCTGACTTGGTCCTCTTGAATACCCTTCTTTGGACACAAGTCACAAGATCTTTCCAAAGCTGAGTTCTCAGCAAGATCATCGTAGCCATTTTTGGTTATTTGTGTGATGGCTGCTTGGATCTGTAGGAATTCTTTCTGCAACCATAATTTGATAAACATAGTAGATGTCTTCTTTATTCAGCACCCACTAAAGTGCAAGTTAGTCTTTTACATGCTTTTCAAGATGGTTAGGAATGTATTTAGGTAAAAGCCTAAAAATGTCCTAGAGTCTACCATGTTAGATGCAAATAATCAAGTACTAACTAGTAGAACTGTTTCCCTCTTGTGGTGCTAAACAGAGACTACAAGTAATGACTATCTCATGAGACGAAGAAGTCCTGAACTGTAGTTTAGCAAAGTCTGGACAAAACAATTGACTTCCCTTTGTATTAGCTTGCTAAGGCTGCCATAACAACATAGACCGGTTGGCTTAAACAATAGAAATCGATTTCTCACAGCTCTGGAGGCTGGAAATTTAAGATGATGGTATTAGCAGTTTTAATGTCTCCTGAGGCCTTTCTCCTTGGCTTGTAGATGGCCTCATTTTGCTGTGTCCTCACATGGCCTTTCCTCTATGTGTGAGCATCCCTTATGTGTCTCTCTATTCTTATAAGGTCATCAGTCATACTGGATTAGGGACCTACTCTTAAAACCCCATCTAATCTTAATTGCCTCTTCAAAGCTCCTATCTCCAAATACAGTCACATTTGGGAGTTAAGGCTTCAACATAGGAATTTGGGGGAGATACAGTTCACTCCACAGTCTACTTCATCTAGAAATTAAAGTAATAATTCTAGATGAAATACTATACTGACAAAATACATTTTGAAGTGAATTTCATAGCTCCTTATACATTTTTTAAAAACCTCTTTTGCTTATTTTATTACTTCAGTTCCTGTTACAGACCTTGAACCTATTACTCTTAGAACTGAGACATCTGGGACAATATTAGGTAACGATTCTGTGCAATTCCCAAATGCTTTTGCTGCTTATTGTACATTCCGTTCAGTCTCCATTTCCTGGCTTTTCCTCCTTCATGAGACAGCCACCATCATCCTCTGTTGCCATTCAGTCACTTCATCTGAAGAATCCTGAAGCCTCTTAAAAACAAGTTTCCTATTGTTTTTATGAGAGCAGACATTAGCTTAATCCAAAACATTGGTTCCATTTGGTATGTTTGTCATTGTCATGTTATCTCGTGCTTCATTGAACAGTGTTCTGTGTTAAAGCCAAATTTAAAACAAATTGGGATCTGTTTCTTATCTAGGCTGATCAACAGTAATAGCTATTCTTACGCTCCTTTGCCTGTCTAGGTTGCTAAGTTTTTAAAAAATTATTTGCATGATATGTTTGTTTCTTTGTTGGTGCTTTAAGTAATGACATGTTTTATTACTAACTTGACAAATAGGAAATTACCTAAACCCAAAATTTTAAATGACGAGCCCTCAGTGTGACCCTAACCTCCCCTCCCTAGCACCAGAGTTGAGCCCTCCTTCCCATTTTTTCCCCAATGAGGAAATTCTGTGAGTGTTTAATTACAAGTGCTAATCTTTATGCCTTGAATGAAAAACTGAGCTACATACATGAGCTTGCGGGCAAAATACCACCAATGATAAAAAGAAGACACATTGCCATAAAAGCATTAAAAATATTAAATTACAGAAAATGTCCTGTAACTTTTGAAAATCTTAACAGCTCTTGGAAAAACCTCTCCTCAGAATCCAGAGCCTTAAGACCTAGAGTAACGCAAAGCTTTTCTTTCTTCAGCTACTAAAACATCACAAAGACCCCGTCGTCCACGTCCCAGACCTAAAACCACACCAAGCCTTCAAGTACCTCAGACCAAATCCGGTAAATGTGTGATTCCTTGGTTTAAGGGTGAGCCCAAGTAGTCCCAGTAGGAACCCAAAACAGTGCCAAGCTGTTAGTGGCTCTAAGTGTGAGGTCATGAGCCATGATCAGTAATGTCTGCTTTGCCGGGGTGTCAGAGAATGTGGCTGGGTGCAATATATTTGGTACCAGAATATCTTACTCTATGTGAGAGTCTTCTTTGATATGCATTTAGTATATTTCTTGCTATCAACTTCCATTCAAATTTTATTATACATCTTCCTTAGCAGAGCTAATATATTCAGTTCAAGTAAACAAAAAATTATAAGTCCCTTGTATATTTTTGGACCAATATTGACAATTGTGGGTGATATGCCAGCAGTGGGAGACTTTCTAAAACAGTAGAGTTGGGTATATGTTTGCATGATACATTAAATATTGACGTTGCAAAGAGGAAAAGATCAAGGTTGACTAGACTTGGACGTTGGGCCTACTAAAGGATTTCAATAAATGGAGGGAAAAGTGAACCAAGGCAGAAGGGCTAGACATGTAAGGTGGTAGAGGGTTAGCCACAGTGGCAGTCCAGTGTGCCTAAAACAGACTGTCCTACTTCTAGATGGCCAAAACAAGGTTATTGATGATGCTGCATTTGGAAGAGTCCAGACAGCCAACTGAAAGAGAATTTTGAGGACCTAATTCAGGAGTTTAGTTTTGATACAGAGACATCAACTGTCTTTGATTTCTGCTTTATCTGGGCTTCAGATAAAGCCAGACAGATGCTCTCCTGAGTATTACAGACTGAGTGACCATCTTTATTCTGCTCTCATGTGCCATGGTTTGGATGAGTTCTCAGAATGATCAACATAGTCCACTTCAATGATTAGCTTTTATATCTGTTTCAAACTTATAAACTGTTTATTGTATCCATGTTTACTTAAACATAGTAAGTATACATTTTCAGCTTCCATAGAAATACAGATTGATCAGATTTTTTAAAAGACAATTTCTTTTCTAACTGTATGTTAGGTCAATGAATAAGAATATGTTCTAGTGCAGAGTTTTCTATATCAGAATCCATTAGCTAAAACCTAGCAGAATTTCATGTTGACTTCTTTAAGACAATCAAGATAGTTCAAAGGCTAAGCCTAAGACTATGACTATAGTTTGGCCAAATCTTCAAAGAAGAATCACCTACTCTTTCCTTCAGTTAGGAGGTTAATTTTTTTTGTTTGTTTTTGTAGAAGGATTGATACACAAGTAGATTTGCTTAGATGTGAATGTTCTGACTTTTCATGTGTTTTAAAATTTCTTTAATTTACTGTATTTTGGGGGCAGTTCCTGCTACAGTTCTTGAACCTGAGGCCCCAGGAACAACATTAGGTAATAATATATTATCTTTTCAACAAGATTTACTCTGCTTTTGTCAAACCTAGAGTTTCATCTTGTTTTATGTGACCATATGTCATTCTTTTTGGACATTCATTTACATTCTTAAAATTATGAAAACTCTTAAAACTATCTGCCATTTTTAAGAGAACCAGTCATACATGAACGTACTTCAGGACATTTATTTGCCATGTAACCTATTTGAAATTTGTTCACGTTATTTTGTGTTTTATTTAAGCCATCTTGGTGGTAAAAAAAAAAAAAAACTCATTTTCAAACATACTATGGGTTTCTACCTCTTATCTATAAAGGCAGATAAAGCCAAATAATAGCTATCATGGGGCCAAGAGGATCCATTTATCTCACATCTATGTTTCTACCTTTTATTTTTCTATTTGTGTGATATTGTTTTGTTTTATTTCTATTTAGGTAATGATGTTTGTTCTTGTTTTAGTAGTTACATAGAAAGTGTGGAAAGATGAAAAAATTGGAATTATAAATCTCAGATATAATATGACCATCCTTCATAATACATTAAAATTTAGCAATGGTTCTTAACCTTTATGTTGCCCAATTAACCCACTCTATGACACCTCGATTATAATTACTAATCTTTATTTCTTGAATTAAAGAGGGATTTTTTTTCTCCAAAGAATCTTGTATGGTAAAAGAAATTATATAAGAAGTATACATGACAAAAATCTCAAACTAAAAAGGCACATGTCTAACAAGTTGTAGAAAATCTAGAATCATATTTTCACCTCTCATTGCTTCCAGAACTGAAGTAATGTGGTTGTGTAGTAACCCTACAATTTCTTCCTTCAGCCTCTGAAACATCACAACAGACACGTCGTCCACGTCCCAGACCAAAAACCACACCAAGTCTTGAAGCTTCTGAGTTCAAACCAGGTAAACAAGTGTTCCTGGTTTAGAGTTTCAGCAGCCTAACCCAACAGGGTCTCAAGAGTAATTCCAGTGTTTGGAAGTAATGAATAGGCCCCATAAAAGTAAAGATATAACTTGTGTTAAACAGCAGTTCCCACTACAGAGATGGCAAGAGGAACACAGTATTGGGAAATCTGTGGGGCAACTGAATGCCTCATGCTTCTTGAGTGAAATCTTATTCTGTCACTGTACATTTTATTAATTTCCATTTATGTCTTGAAAATAAAACTTCTTTAGAAAAATTAGGCATATTCAGTTCAAATTAACAAATAGTATCTTCAGTATCCCCAGGTCATATTAGCACCTTTGGGGGTATAAATTAGGTGTGGGAGACATGTTTTAGTCGTCAAACCTGCAAGAAAGGTAAGAACAAAAGATAAGATAGATGGCATTAGACAGCATGTATGCAAAGACAAGATCAAGATTGATTTCTGGGTGCTATCAACAAAATGTGCTAGGTACATAAATATGTAGGTCTGGAAAAGATAAACAGTGGAGCCTTGAAACCACCGTAGTACACAGATAAGTAGAAAGAGAGGTAGGAATAAAATCAGAAAGAGTGGATATAAGTGAGACCAACCAAAGGAGAAAGTCTAACTGTAGTACTAGTATAAAAGATGTCTCACTAGACAGTGATAGTCAAATCTTTCTGAATCTTGATTGGTCCATGGATTCTCATGATAGAGATTCTTAGGCATTTGATGGAGCAGTTGAGATTTGATCAAGTGGACATTTGTAAGCTCTTTGTTGCACATGAAGGCATGTTCCTTCTTTGCTTAGAATGAAGGGATAACCTGCTCAGTTCATCATGCTGCAGCCTCCCATTCTTTCCAAAGTTAAGTTGTTAGTAATACCCACACATCCTGCTTTGACTCATTAGTTAGAATCAGATCATCAAAGGAGGAATAAGGAAATAGTTACCTCACTTAGGTATGGCCAAATTTTAGGAAATTGGTGGTCTACATTTTTAGTTGAACAGTTTTTAGAAGTTGCTACATAGTTCTAGAAAGTATATGAATAAGATTCATTTTGAAGTAAATGTTTTGAGGGTTTTTAAATTTTTAAGCAATCATTTTGTTTATTTTTAATACTTTTGGTCAGTTCCTACTGCAGACCTTGAACCTGTTGTGTTCAGAACTGAGACATGGGTAACAACACAAGGTAATAACACATGCTCCTCAGTAAGTACCTTCCCTTCTGATTTCACACTCATTCCATCAACATCATAGCTACAGGTTCTTTTACTTCATAAGGACTACATCATCCTCTGTTGTCACTCCATGAAATTCTTTATCCTAAAATTTTGAGGACTCTGACTCTTAAAACAAGTTATCCCTTGTTTTTAAGAGAGTCATGCATAAACCTAACTCAGGTCATCTGTTGTACAAGTAACCACCTGAAATTGTTCTGTCATCTCATGTGCTTTTTAACCATGTTTTGTTAAAGCTGGGTTTAAAAAGCAGTTCCTTTGATGCTACTGACTGTTATGGTATCAGGAAATTTCTTTGTGCATCTGAAGTTCTTTTTTTTTTTTAACTCTCTAATATCTGTCCTTTGATAAATATTTTAATTAATTATATGGCCTTATCTTAGTAAGCTGTCAGAGTTTGTATCTGACTATGGCTGCCCCATAATATTTCTGCAGTGGGACTTACCCTTTTGTTCAATAGAAGAGAACTATGAACACTATTTCACTTCTTGAATTAATAACTTAATGCTGTATGACTCATTCTCAATGAACTTGCATTTATAAAAGAATATATATTACTATATTAAGGGTGAAAGTTTCAAATTAAAAGGTTGATAAGACAAATTTACTAATGTAACTTTAGAAAACCTGGAGTCATGTGTCATGCTACCCTTAGCTTCTAAACTATGGACTCTGTAGTAACCAAAGGTTTTCTTTCTTCAGCTCCTAAAACATCAAAACGGACCCGTCGTCCACATCCCAAACATAAAACTACACCAACTTCTGAAGCACCTCAAACAAAACTGGGTAATTGTGGGTTTCTGGTTAAAGGAGTGAATCTTACCAGCTCTTGGGAGTCTGGGATTGATGCCGGTGGGAGGAGTGATAGCCCATGTGAGCCCAGTAACTGGTGAAGGCACAAGATGATCTACACTGATCCCACCATTGACTTAGCAAAGGAAAACATTGTTTGGGGAGACATCTATGGCAACTGGGTTCCTCATGCTTTGTGCATAAAGATCGTCTATTTTAATATGTATTTTGTTACTCTTGCTTATTTCATTCCATACTTCTCTAGAAGACAAAATGTCTTAAATAGAACCAATTATCTTTATTTTAAGAAACATTAAGTGCCTTTTATTTCCCCCCAGAGCTACATCAACAGCTGTGAGGATATCACAGATGTAGGTAGCTTGTTTTTACTTCTCAGTCTCTACTATAGTCAAAGTCAAAACCTGCCCCAATAGGAAACATTCAAAGATTGAACCAAGGCAATGTGTCGTGCCAATCAAGATTATTTTTTTGCAAGTGTTATAAACCCCTATGCAATTAGAGAGAAGTTTGTGAAGGCCAGGAATGAGGAGTTAGGAAGAAAGCGGGAAATCTTAGAATTGAACAGAGGCAAAAAGTAGGTATTGAGGCCAGCCTGAGGGCACAGGCCTCCTGGAACAAGGGAAGTACTGCTTTTAAGTGGTAATGATAGTGAGTTTGGAAGGGTCCCTAAGAGCAGTTGAAGAAAGTTCTTGAAGGTATGACTCAGAAGTTTGGATCTGAACCTAGAAGCATTCATGGTCTTTCCTGCAACCTCTTCCACATGTATAGGGTACCACATTTTTGTGTTTAGAGCAGAGGGCTGCTCTACTGGGCACCACACACTGAGTGGTTGTTCCTTATCCTAATTAGTTGAATACCTTTGCATCATGTGAGTTCTCAGCCCATTTCTACTCATGAGTTCTCAACAAGATGAGCATGGTTAGCTTTGCTTTGTTCTTTTCTATGCCTCCTTTCAAACATAAAGGCCATTTACTGTGTCCATCTTATTTAGACATCCTATCTTCTTAAAGCTTCCACAGAAAAGGCAACAATTGCCAGAACACTTTTATTAGTATATATCTGGTAAAATGTTTAAACAAGTTTCCTAGGGCAATAGTTGGAATTGGGTACTTAAACACCTAAGAGAATATTGTGTTGACTTTGAGATGCTTAGCAGACTATGTAGGCTATCACTGACTATTTCCTAAAAGAATGTTTACCTGGTTATAGGATGGCCAAATCTTTAAGTATTTAATTTCAGAAAAAAATTTAGTTGCTATACATTTATTGAAGCAATGTTATACTGGTTAGATTTAATTTGCTGACTTTTCACAAGTGTTTATTTCATTGCTTTTCATTAGTTCCTACTACAGATTTTGAACCTGGCCCTCTTAGAACTAAAGCTCCAGAAATCGTGGGTAATGAGAATGTGTGTCCTTCAAATAGTGCTTTTCCTGCCCATTGTCATACCAGTGTGGCCACAGGTCCTGCGGCACCTTAAAACCATTTTAACACCCTCTGTTGTCTTCCATTGCAGTCTTCACCTTGAAATTACGCTAAGCTCTATATCATCTGTTAAACTTAAGAAAACTGTGAATATGCTAATTGCAAGGCATCAAAGTGCCATGTAACTTGTTCATTGTTGTTTCATGTGATCATGTGTATGTGCCAAAACAGCACTGACTACTTCAAGCTTTGTTTCAAACATGAATTTCCATCCCTTATTTGCACTGCTTACCCTTCATTGATTGCAGAAATACCATGTTCTTGAATCATTTTTTATTGCATTAGGATCTGTGTGATTATACTGATGGATCTATTGTTTCAAAAAACAAGGTTTTTAGTTCATTGTCAAAATTTTAAATGTGTCTAAGTCTTGAAAGTTTAAATAATAGGCTTTTGTGATAGAGTAGGATGATTCTTTCTTCTTTGCTAAGAGAATTTAACAGTGTTTCTTAACTTTTCTTGAGTCAAAGACTACTCTGAAACATTGATGAGCACACTGCTTTATGTATTGATCCTCATGCTTTCAAATAAATAAGCTCATTATTATACCCATGATTATTTAAATAATAAGCATTTGTCTCAACTTGTACAGAAGTACTAGTAGAATGACAAATGCTTTTTCCAGTAGAGTTAGCAAAGTATAAATATATATAAATGTGTAAAAAAGTTAGTCTAGCAAAGTTTTACATATTAGCAATGATCAGATATTCAAACATCTAGGAGAACTTCTTATGGATCACAGTGATATTTCACAGAGTACAATGCTGTATCTATTTTATGAGATTAATGGGTACTTTGCCAGAGTATGGTCAAATCTTCAGAGTAAGTGTTTCTTTTCTGTCAGTCCTAAAGCTTAAAAATTGACTTTTGCACGGTTAGTCTTCAAGTGAATTTTTAAAATCTCTTTGGTTTATTATTTTTTACCAGTTCTTCCTACAGCCCTTGAACCCGTCACTCTTAGAACCAAGGCTCCAGAAACATTAGGTAATGATATTCTGCATTCTTCAACAGTTTTTTCCTGCTCATCATCAACCCATTCTATCATAATCATAATCACTTCGTCACCAGCTTTATAAAACTGTTTTGTAATCTGCTGTCCTTCAACTTCATTTTTTTTTTTCTTCTTAAGGGCATTGAAAACTTTTTTTTTTAAAGATTTTATTTATTTATTTGACAGAGACACAGCGAGAGAGGGAACACAAGCAGGGAGAGTGGGGGAGGGAGAAGCAGGCTTCATGCCAAGGAGGGAGCCTGATGCGGGGCTGGATCCCAGGATCCTGGGATCATGACCTGAGCCAAAGGCAGATACTTAACGACTGAGCCACCCAAGTGCCCCAAGGGCACTGAAAACTCTTAAAAGAAGTTATCTATTGTTTTTAAAAGCTATGCATGGACCTAGGAATATCTGTCAACTATGTAATCTTGAGCCTGTTTTATTTATTTTTGTCTAAACAGGGCTCAAATTTAAAGCTGAGTTTTAAAGTCGGTAATGTCTGTATCTTCTCTTGACCAAGCAAATGATAACAATTCGCATGGTATCATAGATTCTTTGGAAAAGTTCTATTTCTTGGTGTGAAACCTATAACCCCGCTACCTACAGCATGGCTAGAGTCCGTAATTACCTTCTTTTAAAGCTAGAGATTTATGAGTTTCCTCACTCCTTGACTTAACTTTATGTGTGAGTTTTCTCTCTCAAGAATCTTTGGTGATTAAAAAAAATAGTTAACAAAATAGGAGAAAATATTTCAATCTTGAGATACATATGCCTTGAACTTCAAGGCAATATGATGCATTTTAGAAAATCTAGGGCCTTATTTCCAAAACCACCTTCACTGGAGTAATCCAAAGTTTCATCCTTCAGCTCCTAAAACAGTACAACGAACCCGTCGTCCACGTCCCAGACCTAAAACCACATCAAGCCCTGAGACACCTCAGACCAAACAGGGTAAATATGTTATTCCATGGTTTGAGGGGTGAACCCTAGCAGTCCGTCCCAGTGGGGTCTCAGGGAAATGCCTCTGATGGGAAGTAACAGCCTTCATGTTCTCTAAAAGTCAAAGCATGAGGTATGGTTAACAAGTAATTTTTGAGTGAAATTTTTGGTCTCTTTAAAGATGTGTTTAAAGCAAGATTGGCATAGTTACTCATAGCTATTTATTGCTATATCTGCATTTAAACACATGGTCTATTTATTGTGGTCATGATTACATAAACATAGGGTTTTTTTTTCAGCTTTCAAAAACTGCAACAAGTTACTTTCATACATATTTTCATATATCTATTGCCTAAACAGAATTTCCAAAGCAAACTTTTATATTGGTTAGAATCAGAAAATCAAACACCTAGAAAAACCTCATGCAGAATTTAAAGTTTGTGACTACCTTCTACAATGAATAGTTCCTAACTAGTGTGACCAAATCCTCAAAAAGAAACTGCTTCCTGTCAATTCAAAAGTTTAAAAAAATTGTCATTTGAAGCTAAAGTTTTGAAAGAAAAATTAAGATTTTCTACGTGTTTAAACTTTCTCATGTTCATGTTGTTGCTTTTGGTTAGTTCCTGCTACAAGCTTTGAACCTGTTATTCATAGTTCTCAGGCTCCAGAAACAGCATTAGGTAATGATTTTTGTGACCTCATCATATGCTTTTTTATTCATATGATAGTCGATCACTGTCACGGCCAGAGTTGCCCCTGCTTCCTTAGACTGCTGTTGTTTTGTTTCATACTTCATCTTAATCTTCATCTTAAGATTAAGAATCTTAGTCAAGATTCTTAATTGAAGTGCTACCTCTTGTTTTTAACAGATGTCCCTGGACCCAGGTGAGGAAATCTATCTGCCATGAAACCCCATTTAAAATTTCATTATCTGATGCAGGGAAGTGTCTGAAGTCCAAATTACAACCCATCTATTTGGTATTTAGAGCTATAAAATGATGATAATTAAATACCATGAAATTTTTCTGAGCAACTTACTTTCTATAAGATTTTTGAGACATTCTCATTATTCTCTTCCTAATTTAAAAGATGATTTCCCCCCTTTAAATTATTAAATACCAAAAAAAATTGTTTCCTGGGTGTGCCAATCCTAGTAAATCTAAGTTACAGGATTTCCTCACCATGGATGAATTTGGTTATTCTTTATCTTCCACCACAGTTTAATATTGGTTCTTAATCTTTGCCAAGTAAGAATCTCTGAGCATCTAATTATATTGATATCTATTCCTATTCCTTTAATTAATAAATTTTGTTATTTTCATTTTCAAAACACCCTTAGTGGTGATAAGCAAATTAGATTCATAAAGTAAAAATTTTCAAACTTAGGTAATAAACTCAAGAAAACCTAATATGTCTTAGAAAACATAGGTCTATGTACAATGCTTTTGAGGTTTCTAGACCTATAAACACAATAGCAACCCAAGATTTTCTTCCTGGAGTTTCAAAAACATGGGGGAAAAAAATCCATTCTCCTCCCAAACTTTAAACTTCCCAAAGTTTCACAGTTGAAACCAAGAAACTCAATGATTTCCTAGTTTGAGTCCTTCTGGCTTATTGCAGTTGGATCCCAGGAGTGACAATGATGTGGCTTGTTAACTTTCACTTCCCACCTCTATGCCCTCTAAGAGAGAGGAGGCACAAATTGTGGTTAGCATCTTTACAATCGCATATTGACCAGAAGGTTCATGGTTGGGAGAGATCTAGGGTAGCCAAAATCATCATGTGTCCTGCATAAGGATTGTCTCCAACAAAAGTTGTATCTTATTCAGCTCTCTTACCATTCCATTTATCTTTTTAAAAATTAGCAGTACTTCTTTGGCTTAGTAAATAAAAATTTCCTTGCCTTCTGTGTTCCCAGCCCCATATTAACAGTTGAGTGGATGGGGTGAGGTGAGGAACAGAGGTAGAGATCAAAAGTAAGAACATGTTTTACTTCTTGAAAAGAGTACAATAGAATTGTGAGGAAACCCTGTTTTCAAGGGGTTTTTGTTGTTGTTTTAGATATAAGGCAATTTGCTCATATAGAAGCAGCTTATTGAGTGGTTAAAAATATGTAGAGAAAATATTTAAACAAGTCAAAGATTTATGTGGACTGATAGATAACAGTTGGACTTTGAAATAACTTCAGTTTTTTGCATTAGTAGATGGAAGGGTAGGAATAGCAAAAATAAAATGAAAACTTAGTACCTATTGAGTAGATGGAAGGGTAGGAATAGCAAAAATAAAACAAAAACTCAATACCTATTAGTAGATGGAAGGGTAGGAATAGCAAAAATAAAATGAAAACTCAAACTAGAACACAGAACAAAGCACTCCTAGATGGTACTAAACATTTTGGTAATGATAAGCTCATAAAATCAGTGGTAGGAAGCTCTTAGAAAGCCCTCGTGGGAATTCAGATTCAGATATAAAAGTCAGTGAGAACCTATTTTTTTTCCCAAATTTTTTATATAACGATGTCAGATGGTAAATATTTTATACTTTGTAGGCCATTCAGTCTCTGTCACAAATACTTGATTCTTTTTTTAAATTTTTTATTGTTATGTTAATCACCATATATTACATCATTAGTTTTGGATGTAGTGTTCCATGATTCATTATTTGCGTATAACACCCAGTGCTCCATGCAGTACGTGCCCTCTTTAATACCCATCACCAGGCTAACCCATCCCCCTACCCTCCTCCCCTCTAGAACCCTCAGTTTGTTTTTCAGAGACCATCATCTCTCATGGTTCGTCTCCCCTTCTGACTTACTCCCCTTCATTCTTCCTCTCCTGCTATCTTCTTCTTTTTCTTTTTTCTTAAAGTATGTTGCGTTATTTGTTTCAGAAGTACAAATACTTGATTCTAATGTAGTATCTCAATTGAAGGCAACCAAAAGCAACATGTAAATGATATGTAAATATGCCTTGAATCATCTTAGTTTGTGGGTGTGGTTGTGTTCCAATAAAGCGTTACTTGGATTTTATACCATTTTCACATGTCATAAAATATTACTTTTAATTTTTTTCCATCACAGAAAAATACAAAAGCCATTCTTAGCTCACAGGTCAGGCAAAGGGCTGGATTGCGAGGACCATAGTTTGCCAATGGCTGCTTTAAATAATGTATACTCTGCATGGCTCTCCATAGCCCTGTGATTTTGAAGATCTGTGCATTTCAGTTCATTGCTACCTTTATCTAAAATCTGTGAAATATCCGTAATTACTTTGACAACTTAGATGCTCTTCTTTCAGCTCCCACTGAACTGCAAACTCTTATTTTGAAACCAGTGACATCACCAAGCCTAGAAATGACACAGAGTCAACCTGGTAATTAGACTGTTTTAACTGTCTGGGTACAATGTGAGCTTCAAGGGACATATTCCAATTATTCCAAGTGTTGATTTCTAAATATAAAAAACAAATAATACACATTTAATAACTCTATATATGTACATGCTCTTTCCGTGATTGCATACTGGTATTAACTTGGTAATTTATTCATAGTAATTGCTATTCAACTGATAAACATACTTCATTTCATTGTGTTTACTCTGTATCACATAGAGAATAATCAAGTATGTGATTAAGTAGTCAATAAAACCACTTAGAAGAACTGATTTTATTCATTATTCTTATGTTTCACTACAAGCTTGTAGTTCTCTTTAGTAATAAGTTAAATTTGTGCTCTGCTATGTGAAAAGAATGCTAGTTCGGTTGTGACCATCAAGGAAGGAGAAAGTGCTCACTTCAGTAAAGATAACAAAACCACCCTATATAGTATTGCCCTTCAAAATTGAAAACAAATATTTTAAGTTAGCATTGTGGTTACTAACCCTGACATATATTTTGAAACACAAGATCTTACTTTTTTTCTAGTTTAGGATTATAATTTCTTTTCATCTCCTTTGTGCATCTTGTAATTAGCTAAATGACATTTTGGTGCTCATGACGGTAAACGTCTACTTGTTAATAGTTACCTACAACAGTTAGAAAATTGTGACTTCAATTCAGTTATTGGAGCTTCCCTCAGTGTCATTAATAATATTGTTGTTATCCTAACAGCCAACATTGAGCTTCTATAGGTGCAAGACACTTTTTTTAAAGATTTTATTTATTTATTTGAGAGAGAGAGAATGAGATAGAGAGAGAGAGCATGAGAGGGTCAGAGGGAGAAGCAGACTCCCTGCTTAGCAGGGAGCCCAATGCGGGACTCGATCCCGGGACTCCAGGATCATGACCTGAGCCGAAGGCAGTCGCTTAACCAACTGAGCCACCCAGGCACCCCACAAGATGCTTTTCTAAATACTTAGTTTGTATGCATTCATTTGATGCTGCCGACAACCCATCCTTGATCAACTATATCATTTTGTGTTCTTTGCTAGTTTCTGAAGTCCTGGAATCGGTTACATTAAGCACTGAGTCATCAAAGGAAGCTCTAGGTAAAAATGTTTCCCAATGCACAGATATATGTGCATTTCCATCTCATTTCCGAAGTCATCTTTGGATGTCCTCACACTTTGTGACATTTCGTAGCTCCTCACATCTTGTCTGTGTTCGTCCAGTGAATCTTAAAAGTCACATGTTACATACAGCACATTGTGCTGGTGCCTGGTATATTGCTATGCAAGTTTCACAATTGCCTTAGCTCCCTTTCACTCTGAATGTGAGATTTAATTTTTTAATATTCTGACCATTCTTTAAATATGAATATGCACATCCTAGTTTTCATGTTTCTATTGTTTTTAGTATTCATCCTTATGCTTTTCAAGGACTCACTCTTTGTCTTTTTCTTACTAGAATCCTTAAAACATGTAAGGAAGTGACATTACCTGCTTTGCTCCAGGTAGAAGTTGCTGAAGACACTGCTGGTTGTGGTGTGTGTACACATGCCCACACTGAACACTTGCCTTGATTTTCCACCTTCATCTCTGCCCTCTTAAATTGCAGTCATCTTCCTAATCTACCTAAATGTTATGTATTCTGATGAATGTACCAACTTAAGATAACAAACCGCTGTTTTCAAATTAAATACAGTGTCCTATGACAGTGTGTGATGCCCTGCCCACCACTAACCAGCCATTCCCTGTTTATTCCATAGCACCAACTGTAACAGATTATCTGTACCCCTCTGCCAAAGCACCACTCAGTCCAGAGGAACCAAAGACTGGAGGTGGTAAAGGTTTTCATGCTTTGATTCATTCATTCAACAAATTTTTAATTAACATCTGTTATATCCATGGAATGTGAAAGTTCAAGCTGTAGTACTTGTTCTACAATGGAATTCATTTGAAGAGCAGTAGCTTCCCAAATCCTTGGGGTCTTCAAACTACAATGATAATTGATCTCTGAATACAGAAATTTTGCTTTCTCTATGGTATCAAAATATTGAGGCATAATAGCATTAGACAGCCAGTTAATGACAGTTAAAATATTAAAATTAGTTGGAGAATTAGTATGACAGAAGAGGATTTCCCCCTTGGTTCTCTCTCTTTTCTTCTCTAAACCCATTGTCCTATCTGTAAAAATATGATGCAAATTTCTGAGAATGAGGGGTGTTGATATTCAAGAAGGAAAGGGTTGACTATAGCTTAGCATCTTAAAGTTTTCTAAAATTGTTCTCCTTTGTTTTGATACAGTTGTGGAATCTATTACAAATGTGTCTGAACCACCCGAGACCACGCTAGGTAATGACACACCTCAGCAGCTTTTGTCCTCATTGCCACCGTCACCTGAGAACCTCAGGTTCTCTTTCATTGTGAATTCATGTTGCAACATCATTCTTCGTCATGGCAGTTAATTTTCTTTCTAGGTGCTTCTATTCATAACCATTGTCCAAAAAGTCTCTTCTGTTTTGTACCTAGATGTTGGTCTCTTTCTCTACTTAAGTCAATGAAACTGTCAAACCTAAAGCATCTTTTTCCTAACATTGAACATTCTGCCAGCTTGTATTGTGTTGAATATTTCAATTTTCTTTTTGTATGGTGATCCATTTTTACTTTCTGCTCTAGCAACATATTTTCCATTAACAGTCATTCCATCACATTCATTTACATGTTTGATTTTTTTTTTTTTTTTGCTCTAATTTTAAGTGAAATCCAATGTTTCTTCACTGGCTCATGCTTTAACATTTTTTATTACTTTGGTTTTCCCCTTAAGGTTACTACTAAATATATCTTTCTAGGATTGTTGAGGAAGTATTAGTTTGAAGTGAGGATTTAAAAAGTAAGGATATTGCTTACTTTGAAAGTATTTTGGAATCTGGCATCTAAGGATTTTTTAAACTAAATGCATTATGAAGAAGTAGGAATGCTATTTTGCTGCAGAGCTGTAATTTTCTTTCCTTTTTTTTTTAATTGCAACCATCCTTTCTGTCATCTATCTGTACTCAAAATTTGTGAAGCACTATCGTAACCCCAGATACTTTCCTTCAATTGCCATAGAGACATCTCCTCTGCCTTCCCAAACTATAATCCTACCCAGCCCAGATGAGCCTTCGACCGAGCCGGGTAAATATTATTTTGTATTTCATGTAGAAGGTGAGTGTTTGCAGACTTCATAAGAATGGAAAGACAGAAAGCCTAAGTTAGTCACTCTGCTTACATTCTTTGCCAGGCAATCCTACTTTTCTGATGCCCCACTTCTATCCATAAGCTACAGCCATTCACATGACAGCGTTGTGAGTATTCTGGCTGAAAAACCATTCTCAGCTACTCGGCAAGTGTTTCAAACAGGACATAGTAATGTTTCTGGGGAAGAACATTTATATTCCATTTTAAAATATAAATATCCTAATTTAAAATATTTTATCATCTTGACTAGAACTTTTACAAGTTCTGTGGTCATGTACAAAATATCTTAAGGTATTTAAGTTGTGTTTGAGATTAACAGAAACCTCCAGAAACAGATTTCACTGTGCGAAACACATAAAAGGGTACAACTGGCCAATCACATTATCATAACTCAAGTCCTTTACTTCTTTCTACTCCTCTTCTTGCAGCAGTTTGGCCTTTCTGCATGTAAATAAGAGAAACTGAGTCAAACCAGCTAGTTCGCTTACTTAATGGTGGAATTTGAAATACAGGAAAATAAATCACCAACATGAATAACTAAATGTGCTGCTTCTTACGAGGAAAAATTCTCTCAATATCTATAGGTTTTCTTGGACTGATAGTTTATAAAAAATAAATCCAAACTGGTGTTTTGATTATCGTTAAACTATTTCACATGGGTCTATTTCCAAAGGAGATATGAATATTAACTTTATACATTATCCTCTAAAATCTCTTATTAAATTTTGCCTTTTAAACTCTACAGTTTATTTTTACTGAAATTTCACACTAACTGCATTAACTGAATCTGCCAGTTATCTCTAACTTTCCCAAGTTTCTTAAATAGCTGTATTAATGGATATGATGGAAATGTTTAATTGAAAGTACTCTTAGTGATACCTACCTCATACCCTGGGAGAAGAAAATAGCCTATCAGGAACTTCAGCAAGCAAGGAAGTTGAGAGTGAAAAAAATTGCAAGATTGAAAGAAACTCTAGAATCAGAATTTCAGGATTGGAAGGGCCCTTAAGAGTCCTGTTACTTTTGATGGAGAACATGAGGCGATAGACTGAGTGATTAGCAAAGGGAGTTCTAAATCTTCAGGTTCCTAGACTAGTACAATCTCCTGCATATCTTGGTGTTCATTTCTCTACAGGCGATTCCACTTGAAGAGTCCACTGAAACCACTCTGCATGCAGACTCTTTAGAAACTTCTAGTATCTAAAAACTCTTATTTTCAGCAAGCTTTCCTTAACGTGCCTGAAACTTGGTGGACTTGAAAAACATTTTGTTTCTCCTAAGCTGTTTATACCAAACACACTTGAGACAGTCCAAATGAGGTGTTTCTACAAGCTGCAACATCACGTTTGATTATTCCTTTCCTCCAGCAGGATATACTTCAAATTTTCTTGGTAAAGATACAATTGGGTTTTTACAGTGAATGTCCTAGAACTACTTTAGGAATTGCCCAAGAAAGGAATAACTTTCTCAGGAATGTATCCTTTCAATTTCTGTTCAGTTTTTCTTCCCCAGTATGACCAATGAAAACTGTGTTTTGTTTAATAAGATTTTTCCATTAGCACTGCTATTAAAATGCATTTATTTTCTAGGTATATTTGGAATGTAACATGCTAACTCTGTTTTTAGAAGAAATTGTACTCCTCTGCACTTAAAATATTATACTGGGATATTCTGGTAAAATAGTGTAAACTTGTAATAAGGATGAATTCTTGTTATTATGAAATTTATTTTAAATCTATTTACAAGGTATTTGAAGTAGATATTTCTGAAATTCTAACAGTTTCATTTGCCAGCTGAATATCTTAGACATCATTTAATGTACTTTCTTGTTTTGTTTTCCAATAATAATAAATTTATCTTCCTATATTTTGTGGTTCTTTAGGAGCTTTAATTGCATTAATTGCTGTGTATTTAGGTCTTCATCTTTGAGATCCTAGAAGCTTAGATACTGTGATTCTTGAAGCACTCAAGAGCTCCAAGCCCTCCAAATCTATGTTCTTTCTTTTAGCTCCCAAGCAGACACCGCGTGCTCCTCCCAAACCAAAAACATCTCCACGTCCAAGAATCCCACAAACACAGCCAGGTAAATACATATTTTGTATTCTGAAGAGTTTGATATTAGTGGAATTATTCTATTGAATTGTAGCGAGTTGGGTTTTTAACTCTTGTAAAATGAGTCTTCCTTTGAAACCTTAAAAATATTTATTTTTGAACTTTATTAAGAAGTATGTTATTGGAATAGCTTATTCCAGAAAGCTTCCCTGTGGTTACATTATTTGAAGAGGGAGCTGGAGAAGAATGGAATTTCTTAAAAGAGTAGACTGCCTACCCCCATTGCCTCTCTGAGCTTGAGAATACCTGTCCCTTCCATGGTCCTTGAATGTGCCTCCTCCTGCCAATCACTTCTTTTTTTTTTAACTTTCAGTAGATTTTATTTAACAGTATGTCATGGAAATCTGTTTTATATGTATATCTATTCTCTCCTATAACAATGATTATATAATATGGCTTTGGTGGTTTTGCTGTAAAATTTTGGTAAGGACCAAACAAGAGTCATTATAAACTATTTTGCATTCTTTTCAAGAGGCTTTTATTTGAATGATTAAATTGAACCCTAACTTCTCAACCAAGATCTTGTCCAATTTCTCCAACTGCCTTGGAGGATCTCTGTTGGGGGATATCATGAATTTGACATGTCTTAAAAAAAGTTCATCATCTTTTGCTCCTTTCAATTTCTCATTTACATCTCTGGCAGTTTCTCAGTATTTTACAACTAACTTTTACTCCTCTTCCTCATCCAGCCTCTGCAGTCCATTTGCTAATAAGTATGATGCATTCAGTTCTTCCAAACATTTCTAGCATTGGTGCCTATGCCAAGCATGTACTTGGTCATGCCTTGTCTGTTGTCATTGATCTCTTAACTCTCTTCTCTAATTCCAAATTATATCACCCCTCAATGTTTAAGCAATTAATTCATTTCATCAGGTAGTCACTCAACAAATATTTATTGCATGCTGACTATGTGCCAGACATTGGGGATGTGAGACAAAATTGTATCTTTCCATGGTCAAGGAATTTACAGGCTAGCCCTACTACATAAATTAAAAAAATATCATTTATATATGGTCTGCTTCCAAAAAGTATAAGGGTACACCTCCCCAGTTTGGTAGAAAAGGAGCCTTTACTACTGCTTACAGTCTGGAGAAAGAAAAATGTTAGGAGCATCAAAATTATGCTCGATCAAGGTAGTAGTTCTGAATTCCTACCACTAATTCTTTAATCATATCTCAGTATTCCTACTGAAAGAAAAAACTGAAGATTTGGGCATAGTCTTTAATATCTGATTCTGAGAGAAATTTTGCCTGTCATTTTTTTCTTTAAAGGAAAATTCCTTAAAAGACAGTTCTATGTTCCACATCTAGCTAATGATTTTAAATCTGCTTTAATGTATTTTTAAATGTGTTTTATTTAATTAGCAAGGCTTTGCTATGAAAATAATATGGGTATGATACCTAGTGTATAAAGGTACCAAGGCAAAAATCCCCTGAAAGAATAAGAAAGTTAAAATAACAATAAATACACTTGAAACATTAATCCTTAAGAAATGGTTTGAAAAACAATTATTAGAGAATAAGTAATGATTAATGAATAGGAATTAAAAAAGCAAAGCAAGTATATTAAGTTGATAGAAAATTAAAATCTGATTTTAGAAACTCAACAGATAAAATCTCTCAGCTTTTTATTTAAATATAAGGCATAAAACATAAGTAGCAGAGAAAGGAGAAATCGAGAGAAGTAAGAAAGCATGAAAACTTGTTGAATGTTCAGAAAATAAGAAATGAAGTGGTGAGAATTAAGACATTGGGAATATAAATTCTTGCCTGTGAATTGTGTAAGACTGTTGAATCACAGACCTGTACCTCTGAAACAAATAATACATTATATGTTAAAAAAAAAAGAAGATAGCAGGAAGGGAAAAATGAAGGGGGGGAAATTGGAGGGGGAGACGAACCATGAGAGACTATGGACTCTTGAGAAATAAACTGAGGGTTCTAGAGGGGAGGGGGTGGGGGGATGGGTTAGCCTGGTGATAGGTATTAAAGAGGGCACGTATTGAATGGAGCACTGGGTGTTATACGCAAACAATGAATCATGGAACACCACATCAAAAACTAATGATGTAATGTATGGTGATTAATATAACATAATAAAAAAATAAATTCCTGGTTAGTAAAATTTTTAAAGTAAGGAGATATGAGGTAACAAAAAAAAACATTCATCATTTTCTTTTTCAGCTATATATTCTGTACTTATAAAAATATTTATCATCCATCAGGATCTTACTCTAATTTCCCATTATTATAGTATATTCTCCATTTCAAATTTGGCTAGCTCTTGTAATTTCAAAAGGCCATCTGGGTGAGAGAATGTCCTATGCATACATACAATACCAAATACAAATTATTATTGTTAGACTTTAGGGGAATCCCTGACAGTAGTGTGTACAATTTCAAGTGCAACACAGTGTGCCTATCCACTACTTTTCTCAGAATGAAATTTCGTAATCGGGCATACCAACTTTCTTCCTATTTAAGCTTAGATAGCAAGATTTAAATCTGTATTCGGCATTTAAGGGCAAAGTGGAATAAAAAGTTTGGAACAAATCATCAGGAATACTTTGTCATTGCATAAAGGCTTGATTTTTAGATTCCTGTGTTCATAGGTAATAGTCAACAACCCAATTAATTTCATATCTAGAAATCTTATAACTATCAAAACTTTGGGTGCCTCTGGCTCATGTGGGGGCAAACAACATGAGAATCAGAATATACTCGGGTGTTAAATTTGTAAAATTTGTAAAAATCAATGTCAAATTTGTAAAAATCTTCTAGAAGTAATTTTTATTACAGTTGTATAGTTTTCACATCAATTTGAATTGCACATTTAATTCTCATAACCACCCTTTGGGTTAGGGCAGTTTTATTATTTCCAACTAAAAAAATAAGAAACAAGTTAAAATGTGACCTCAGTGCTGGGATCTAGAAAGCCCAAGTTTTAGGACCTAGTGCCCGTGTCTAGACCTCAGCATTCAGTTCAAGTCTCATCTCCAGTACTTAATTACTATGTAACTTCAGGCAGACAGTCACTAACCCAGGCCATTAAAGTAAAGCTCATAATTCCTTCCTTCCATCATTATGGTGAGAATCAAAGAGCACACTCCTTACAAAACCACTTTTGAAATTGTAAAATGAGCTATAAATAAATTGGACCTTTTTTTTTCTGGTATCTGTTACATTAACAACTCATTACTCCAAAGGAACAGTTGTGGGAAGACCATTTTAGTTTATGAACATGCTCATTTAAAGATTTAGGTGGGGCCTAAGAATTTCAGGGGGTGTAGAATGTGAGCCTACATGCTCTAGTCCCTCCTGCTTCCCTTTCTGCTGTTGCCTGAGCTGACTTTAAGCTTGTCTTATTCATGCTTCATTGCCTTCTACTCTGACTTTGCTAAATTCATCTTCACAGAAAGACATAAAGCTGGGTTTGAGTCAAGCAAACATCCAGAAAGGACGAACACTTCTGCATTAATTTAATTGTTATCTCTTCAAAAAAAGAAAATAAAATAGTTATCTCTTCTGAAAAGAAGATTTCAAAAAAAAAAAATTCTCCCTCCTACCCTTATGCTTAGTTATATTTTGTGGTTTCTCAGACATCATTTTTCTAAAAGCATCTGGAATTCTGATAAATGTTCAGAGCTTAAAGTTTATTTTTCTATCTAATTCCCATTTCAATGCTTTTCTTTTTAAATCAGTGGTCAGGCTTACACTTTGTCATATCATCCATGTTTAGCAGGACTGGGAGATGCTGAAACAAAATGACTCACGATCTGAGTTCTCTCTTTCAGCCCTCAAGGTGTCCCACCATGTTACTTCAAAGCCAAAAGCATTACCAAGTCCAGAAGTATCATATACTCCACCTGGTAAATAATTTATTTCATGTTTAAGCCAAATGCATTCTCCTGTCACATTCTGCTGCAATGACACCTGAGAACTGATAGATAAGAGGGCAATATTTCACTCATGTTCCGACACCATGTTGAATCATCCATGGTATGATCATCTCTGAGGTTCCATAGGTTATCTAGTTGCCCATATAGTAAGCTATTGATTCAATCAAAAGGTAAAGAATTATGCCAAGGGTAGACCTTTCCTTTAGAACTAAAGTTCTCATATATTCTGACTTATAAAAAAATAAAATAAACCTGTCAATGCTAACTAGATTATGTTCAAATGGTTCACCAAAATAAGATAAAATAAAGAATTTGATGGGGTTTTTTTCTCCACAAAAGTGATAAAATGTTTTGCAAACAGAGGAAATGATCTTTACCCGTTATCTTTGGTTCAGTAATTTTACACTACCTAGCACTGAGGGTTTTTCTCAGTCAATTTCTACTTTACCAGTTCATGGAGCAACAGCTTAGGTAGAGAAATAAGAAATTTCCCATACACAAAGGATTTCTTTAGCTACAAATCTATCTCTTACCTATCATCTGAGAAGGCCTTTTGTCCATTTATGGGGGGAATAATTTTATATCTGTGGGAGTGGTTGGTATGGGAACCGCAAGGACCCAGACATTTCCTGAATCTTGCCACCAGTGCTCTAGATGCTCAAGTGACCTTAAGAATCCACTGTAAGAGGAACAGTTCTCTAATAAACCAAACAAAGCTAATTTTTAACTAGAGTATCTGGAAAATGATATTTTTTATTTCTTTTAAATGGTCCAATTATTATAAATTTCTAGATGCTCCTAGAAGCCTATGGAACATTCCCAGAACGAAAGGATTTCTAAGTTGTAGCATGAAATGATGGCATTTTGGAAGCAAGCCTGAATTCACTTGCTATAAATGTTTTCCAGATTTGTAAGTGGGGGGTGGAGGGGTGTATTACTGCTGCTGTGGGATAGTCTGGTTGCTGCAGGTAGCAGTAGGCTACCAGCAGCAGAGCTAAGGAGCTCTGAAATCTAGAATGTCAATTTGTACCACTAAACACAACAGCCAGTATAATAGCCACCAACAAGAAAAAAAGTTGATCTTTTCACTTGCAAAAGGTCAGTTTCTCATTTTTCAGTTGCAGGAAAAAAATGTCACAAAAATTGAGTCATTAATGATAACAACAGTAGGTTTGAGTGATTTTGTGTGCTTTTCCTTTTTGTTAGAGAAAGTAATACTGTTGGTCCTAAGGTGACTTAATCTCCTTAAACCATATCTAATACTAAACTATATCTAATAATTAAGTATTTTTTTCTTTTTAAATATCTAATATTTGCCTTAATTCCGCCTTATTTTTTCACAGAAACTCAAACCTTAAGTTTGAGCACGGGAACAACAGCCCAAACTGCCCCCTGGCACCTCCACTGGGCTTATTCTATTGACTCTCCAGTTCCACATGTTCGATTAGAGTTCAATCTCTAAACCTGGTGCTGGTCCCATCATTTATTCATCAGAGGCTCCCCTGTTGCTCCAGGGGTGTGGTACCTGTGGGAATAATCTTCAATTTTCTCATGAGTGTTCAAACAGACTAGGTTCTCTTAGGTTTAGTTTCCGGGTCATAACTAGGCACAGGTTTGCATCCTAATGAACCCAAGACCTTGTTTACCAGCTCCTATAGGTTCTATCTCAGAAAGCAGAGGGGAACTTACACATAGGTTTAATATGTACTGGTGTCCTAGAGAAGTAGATGCTCTGCCAAATCTGAAAATGTAAAATGTAGTGCTGAAATCAAGACAGAGTTACAAGATTTATCTCAAATTTTATTCTGAGAGATATCAGAAGTAACTAACTTGAATTTTTTGATCTGTATCAAATAAGTCAGTCTGGGATTGGCCACACAGCTCTTCCATTCTGTAGATTCCTAGATATAACACAGGTCTCATCCACCTAGGCTTTTAAAAAGTATCTTCCAGCCACTCAGTTGAGTTCTCTCTATACCATTTAATAAGGAATCTAGACAAATTGAGCCCACACGCCATGTCCAGAACCAACATAGAAGTGGTTTTTCTTCAGATCTGCCTCAGAGGAATGATTTCAAATTCAGAGAAAAGGACTTGCCCTGATACCTGGCTCAACAGAGCTGTGCTTTCTTTGTAGATGTATTTCTATTTTTTTTTTAATTATTTATTTATTTGACACACAGAGACACACAGAGAGGGAACACAGCAGGGGGAGAGGGAGAAGCAGGCTTCCCGCAGAGCGGGGAGCCCGATGTGGGGCTCGATCCCAATCATGACCTGAGCCAAAGGCAGACGCTTAATGACTGAGCCAGCCAGGCACCCCAGTAGATGTATTTCTAAACCAAGAGCTGTCCTGGCTTTGTGGTGACTCTTCTGGCCCGTGGGTATCTGGATAGACCTGTCATTGGAAGTGAACCAGAAAGAAAATCTAGATTTTGGCAAGTTATGCAATCCTCACAAATGTTCTTTGTGACTACTGTCTTTGGTAAATTCCAATTTGCAGGCACACGTAAGCATTTTTGCAGTTAGGAAATGAGGGAAGAATGCTGAAATGCCTTTGGAAATAGAATCACTAGGATGTAGGCAATGACTCTTGCCATGGAGAGGAGGATGACACCATTGTTTCTAGCTTGGGCAAGTGGTGGATGACAATGCTACTAAGGCAGGGAACACAGGGGTGAGGGGGGTGGTAATAAGCACCGTGTTTGTGCACACTGGGTTTGGAGGGCCAGTAGGATTTCCAAGTGGGAATGTCGAACTGGTGGTCAAAATGTATTTCAGGATTTCTAAACCGAAAATATGGGATATAGATTTGGGAGTCACCTGTCCACATCTAGCAGGTTATTAAATCTCATGTGTGAATAAAATCATCTAATAGAAAGTATAGACTGAGAAAAATAAGAGGTTAGAGGTCAAAAACTTGGGGGACACAGCTACATTTAGGAAATGGATAGGAGATGAGGAACCAGAAGAAGTTGCTATCAAAAATTAAGAGAGAACCAGAAAGGAGGGCCTCTGGAGGTAAGGCAGGGAAGTGTGGTCAACAATGACCGGTAGAGCGGGATCAGAGGAGCTGCTGGACTTGACAGTGCAGACCCAGAAAGCCATATCCGAATCCTATGGGCCCATGCTTCAAAATCCAGCAGTTTCTAGATGTTAGAAAGGTAAAACAGAACATATACCAAATATATTAATATGTCTGCAGTAAGAAGTATGAATAGTTGTACCATACCAGATGAATAAAAATTGTAATTAGACTTAGGTCAGGTCTAGTCAGGTTTTGCTGCCTAATAAGTGAAGAAAAAAAGCTAAGTTTTCGGAGCATTTGGACTTGAGAGCTATGGATAAAGCATTGCAGATCCACTGTTGCAGGAGGTCAATGAAGAGGAAGCCAGACCACAGCAGATGAAGATACAATTGAGAGACCAGAAGCAAAGGCAGATAATGTTTTTTGATTATAGGAATGAGAGCAAGGGAAGGATGGTTTGAAGGGGAAGCCACATCGAGGAAATGATGATTATTTTTAGGGTGTTGGAGCATTTGAACTGTTCTATAGGTGAAGAGGAAGGAAATCATGGATAAATGGAAATACGGACTAATGGAGAAACATGTAATAGAAATAATGGAAGGTAAAAGACTCTAGAAGAGAGGGTGGCCCAATGACACAGGTAAAGCTTGGAATGTGGCCTCCAAACAGGTGGGAGACATGCTTCGTCCTAGACTGGACCTAAAGGTACAAGGTTAGAATAAAGGAACAGGGAATTCAGAGATGAAAATTGTGTATAGTCCATGTGTATTACTCTTCCAAGATAATCGGTCTCTTTGTAGCTTATTGCAGGAGTAAACCTCATTGAAAACTTCATATTCCACCATCTTTATCATAGAATAACAGATTAATTTCTCTCATTTACTCTAGCAAAACATTCATGTTCATGCATTTACATTGGTCCATATTAGACATTTCCATTCATAATTGTCTTAGTTGAATTTTTCTTTGGATTGGTGCACTGTATTCAGAAAGACAGTAATATAATTGGTTGGTTAATATAAATGGTAAGTTGGCTAATATAATTGAGTCTAAAAATATACCAATATTATATATTAATTACATATATTTATTATAAAGATATTCTTATAAGGAAATCAAAACTGCCTTCTCATATAAATTGTCATTATTAAGACACAAAGTCTCTCCCCACATGGAAGATTTAGAGTTTAGGAATCATGCTTTTATTCAATTTAATATATGGAGGAATGCTACACAGGGAAAAAGAAAAAAAAGTTTCATTTCTTGGAGCTGCTGTTGAAGTAAGAGAATGATTCATATCCCTTTCCTGTGAATATTTCTGTTTCTTTCCTTTCCACTGATTTTACCTGCTTTAGAAAGTCTGCAGTGACAGTTTATTAAATCATCACTTCATGGTTAAAAAGTGCCAATTGAAGCAGCAGGAATCCACATTACCCTGGCCTACATGCCACAGTAAACGAAAACAGGCAACAAGTAATGTATTGACAGTATGGCGGATTTATGGGTAGCACATTTTTTCTCTGCCTCTCCTTAATCCCAGCTCCTGTCTGTATAATTGAGAACTGCAGCCTTTTAGGGTATTTAAAACTACAGGCTGCTTTGTATGGCCATGATCTTCACACAGCCAAATCAAAGTTTTTCACCCTCCAGATAAACGTTTAGTTTGATTTACAACTGGAAATTTCTCGTATTTTACCCTTCGAATCCCCCAAAACACTACATAGCAAAGGGCAAATGTTCACTATTAGGTTAAGTTTTCTCTAATTTTTGTGGACCACTGATCTTTTTGAGTTTTTTTTTTTTTTTAAGATTTTATTTATTTGGCAGAAAGAGACACAGCGAGAGAGGGAACACAAGCAGGGGGAGTGGGAGAGGGAGAAGCAGGCTTCCCGCAGAGCAGGGAGCCCGATGCGGGGCTCCATCCCAGGACCCTGGGATCATGACCTGAGCGGAAGACAGACACTCAACGACTGAGCCACCCAGGTGCCCCGAAGTTTTTTTTTTTCTTATAAAAATTCAAATGTTCAAGTTCCTGTGGATGTTACCTTTTAGCTCATAAAAGTTCAAATTGAGTCAAGATCCTACTCTCTGTACCAAATTCCACAACTATAACTTCATTGGGACTTAGAAGTCTAGACTAAGAACACATGTGATATGCAAGTTAAATCTGATCTCCAAAAGCAGTACAAAGAGAGTGTCAGTTCTATATAAACTATACACTAATGGGAAAGTAATGCTTGGTCAAAAGCAAAAGCTTTCCTTGTCTTTTTCTGAGGTAGAACTCTAGCCTGAATCCTAATTTTTTTCCCCAGCATCATTTAAGATGCAAGAAAATTAGTGTCTATCAAAGGGATTCTGGTACTTACCACACCTTCATTGTGCTAGGAAAACCTTTCAGCAAGACAGTAGGACTGAGAAGGACCTCTTTATGGGGAAACTGAGCCAAAGAAGCACTTTACCTTGCTCCTGGAAGGAGACTTTGTCATAGAAATCTGGTGCTAATAATAAGCGAATTACCTTGGTATTTTCCTCAGTGAGAAATGAGGTGTCAGATTTGCAGCCTACTGTTTTATTTTGCCAAAATAAATTCTAAAAATGTACTGGGTATCAGGGACCGACTATAAGTAGGTCTCTTTTAGCTGACATTTTTGTCCCTAGTTTTCATGCTCTTATATGTCAGGAGGCCCTGAAACCTAATCTACCGGAAGCCACATCACTAAGAATGACAAAATGGTAGCATTTATCTAGCATTTACTAGTAACAAGCACTCTCATAAACTTTACATGTGGTAACTTCTAATGATGGGTAGATTATTCTTGCTCCATTTTCCCCCCCAGAATAACTATGAGTGCCTTTTAGACTATAACTTTGTTCTCCTCTTAGATATTCAAGAATTCGCCTTTCTTGTGGTCTCCCTTAATTTATAGGCCATTTATGCCTACATTATCTAGGATAATATATTTTCCATTGCTCTCAATGGACTTTTAGTCTGAATATCAAATGGCAGCTAACCACCTCAGGAAAAAACTGATTTTCTGGTTTTCCTTCTTTTTCATTTTCTTTCTTTTTTTTTTTAAGATTTTATTTTTAAGTAACCTCTACACCTAGTATGGGGCTTGACACAACCCTGAGATCAAGAGTCGCATGCGCTACTGACTTGAGCCACCTTCTTGTGTTTAATGACATTAGTTATTTCCTCTTTTTTCCCCCTCAAGGGAGGCTTCATAAAGAACTGTCACCAATTTTGTTTAACTGCCACAGAACCTTCCTTACACAGTGACTTTTTCCATTTTGAAGAAAACAGTCATCTTCTTGGATTTACTCTTTAGCCATTGTGAAAATACCTTTGCTTTATTCATGTTTTCCAGGATATTTTATCTGTGGGTTAGGTTTCACGCCAGATGTGGCATTTGGAGTACAATGTTTTATAATCTTTTTTCTTTCAGTTCCAAGAGATGTGCTCCTTCCCCCTAAACCAGACCCTGAAGTCTCTCAGAGCGAGCCTGGTAAATAAATAATTTTATTTTCCCAGTTAGGAAGTGTGTTTTTCAAAAAGTGTTCTTGAGATAAATACATTTTGTAATCATTGTGATATGGAAGAAGTTTGGAGAAAATTATAGATATTGAATGTGTATTTCCTTTTTGTGAAGATTTAAACTTATCATCTGCTTGAATTTTTTTTCTCTGGTTAGAATGGAGGAATAGTATAGAATTAGTTTTCCATGGAAGTGTTTCCATCGAAAAGGAGATCATGCTAAAATTATAAGACATGCTTATTAACTGAGCCAACCATTTTTACCTTCTTTCAGAATGTAAATAGAACTACATTCCAACTGTGGGTGTACTTTAAGTCAAAAATGTGCATGCCTACTCAAAAATTTTCCTCAAAGTCACAGTGAATGAGATCTTTAAAGTTTTAGCTAAACTAAGTTTCCTAAGTGGCATCTAATATATAGAATTTTCTCATATTTATTATGATTCTTCGATAATGTTTAAATGTTCAAATAGAAGCATATAGAAACACACAAATGATGTTTACTTCACCAGGTAGTAATTTTCATAAATATATTTCCTTGATTTGCTTTTGGCCTAGTTCTGCAACCTGTTACCTTTAGAATTGATCCACCAGAGACAACAATAGGTAATGGTTTTCCCCTACCAACCAACTCTAATAGTTTTCTTTGCTACAGTCCAATTGCAGGTCTTTCTCACCTTACCATATTGAAACATCATCTCTTCTCAGTCCACCTCATCATCTCATTCTCATTACTCTTACTCTTTCCAAAATAGAAAAGCAATGGCTTCACTGTTGTAAAGGCTTTGCTCTGAAGACCAACTTAAGACAACTCATTACCTACCTCATTACTTCCGTGTTCAGAACAATTCCATGTGCTCATGCCCATCTAGTTAACATCTTCTGCAAGTTTAGTGGTTCTCAGCTGTAGTGTTACAGCACACTAGCATGTGACAAGTTATGAAAGGTTCTAGCAAGTAATTATTGTTAATATTGGTCAAAATACTGAACTTTGCCCATGGTTTATTTTTAAAAATAAACTTGAGGAGACTCCAGATGACCGCTACAAGAATCAATATTTTCACTCACTTTGTAATCCTGTGTGTCCTTGTGGATGGGAGAGAGAGAGACAGAGCTACAGCTGACAGACCAGGACTGTTTCTAACTCATACCCCATCTTAACCAGGGATGATCATGAAGAGTGTCAAGCCCTGAATCATTTTTTATCTGTCCTGGTGGGGGAAAAAAAAAAAAAACAGTTGAGAACCATTATTCTTATAATCCACAGTCATTTTCCTGAAGGTTCTGTGTACATCTAACTTTCTTCTTCATGACCCACCTAATGTTTTCCTTTTCCTGTTTCAAATGAAGGAATCTCGTGTAATATTATTCTGGCCGGGTGCTGGCTTTTGCATCTGAAGATTGACAACGCTGGTGCTTTTCTTTTGCAGCTCCTTTAGAGACACGAGGCAGCCCTTTCATACCCATGATTCCACCAAGTACTACTAGTGAAGAGGAACTGCAAGCCACTCTGGGTATTTTGTTTTCATGTTTCAGTCCAATGAGGACCTACCTTTTAGGGATTGCTCTTGAAGTAGCTATGCGTGCATTGTGTTTATGGAATGTTTCCAAACAATAGAGGGTCTCTTTTTACCGTTACTAAAAGACATCCATTTCACTTGATTCTTTTACATTAACTGTGTATTTGTCCTTCTAATATTTATGCTGGTTTTCAATAGAAAATGAGAATATTTTAAAACATCTTGACAAAATTTTAACTTTTCTCAAAAGAAGAATATTCCCAAAGTGTATCAGCGCTATACTTTTTGGTTTTTTTTCCATATTTGAAACTGCCTTTGGGAAGAAAAATTTCATTTTGAATTCATTGAATATTTTATGGGTGCTAAGTGAAATGCTAAGCAATGGGAGTTCCAGAAAAGAAACTGTTTTAAGGGTGAGTCCTGACTCTGGAGAGCTCAGCATCTAATATAAAGAAACAGGATCAGTGATAGTAGTGCTTCCTCAGTGCCCCCCAGTGTGCTATGTGTGATGTTTCATTTAAGCCACACAACAGTTGTCCCATTTTACAGATTAGAAAATTGAGGCATAAAGAGGTTTAAAAATTGGGCCAAGTCACACAGTTAATGTCAAAGCTGGATTGGAACCCACGTATTCAGTCACCTGAGCTCCTGGGATTCACTTCAGTGTTGAAAACGAGTGTGATAGAGAAATGAGCAATTTGTTAAAGAAGCCAACTACTGGGTGTATAAGGGGACGCTTTACAGAGGAGGTGATATTTACCCCGAATTTTCAAGCTGGAGTGAGAGTTGAAGTTAAAGATGTGAAAGGTTCTTTCAGGTTAAAGACAGATGGGAGAGAGGCAGTTCAGAGAATGGTGGTCAGGCTAATCTGATGAGCACATGACTTGCCTGGAAAAACGAGGATGGCTAGATGCATCAGGAAGGTTGGTGGGGATGAGTGGTCCATGCTTTCAGGAGTTCAGTACCGATACATTCACAGCCTGGAAAACCTCAGTTTGCCTGACCCTCGATTGAAAATGAATCAGAAAACAAGAATTTCCAGCTTGTGTTTGTTGGTTCCTTGGTTCCTTTGCCCTGTCCACAATGCATCTCCCATGGCTGTGTTTAAATCAGTGGCCTTATTTTCCTCCTTTCATCCCTTTTCAAATAAATCTATGCTTTGTGTGTGTCTACTGAGATGCAGTTACTGATCACATTTCAAAATGAAATCCTCTTTAAAGGAACAAATTTAAAACTGAGCAAGTACACCCTAATTTCCAAATATTCATCTATTCTAGCCATTCTCCACCAAGTGAACATCACCCATGACAGCAAAGTCAAAAGTACTTTTCAAGAACCACTGCTAGATATACTAACTTCTACTCCCTATTTATTTTAATGTACCTTGGTTTATTGAAGCAAGAACCATCGCCTGCCAACGGTCACAAGTATGTCTGTTGGGCGCCTGGGTGGCTGAGTCGTTAAGCGTCTGCCTTCGGCTCAGGTCATGATCCCAGGGTCCTGGGATTGAGCCCCACATCGGGCTCCCTGCTTGGCGGGGAGCCTGCTTCTCCCTCTGCTTGTGTTCCCTCTCTCACTGTGTCTCTCTCTGTCAAAGAAATAAATAAAATCTTAAAAAAACAAGTATGTCTGTTATGAGCAAAATCCTGATTATAAAGCAGGGCAGAAAAAAAAAAGGTGACAGTGTATTCTATGCCCCAAGTATTTTCTTGGCTACAGGGTATGGTAAAGTGGCAAAGTATAATTTGCTATGTTTATATGATGCTGTGATGACTTCGAGATAATATGGGAGTAGAAGTAGTGCCACACTTATTTTTTTTTTATTTTGCCAGGAAAAATGTGTCTATGTCAATAAACTTTGACTCTCACATCACATAAATAGAAGAATATTTATCCTTATACAGTCTAAATGCACCTGTCTTCATACAATGTATTTCTTTTCCAGCTCCTATAAATAACTTGAGTTTATGGAATAGAGGGGAAGCATGAAGACAGTAATGTATGAAAACAGTTAAGAGACAGAGTTTGAGAACAGCCATGTCCAGGATCATGAAACAGTAATCGTGAACTAAAAGCTTTTGGAAATCCTTATGATAATCATGAAAATAATAGAGCAAGAAGATAGCAAATATAATAAATGAGTTATTAAAATGTACCTTTAACTTTGAAATTTTGTGATGACAAGGATTACTTATAAATGCAATTTCCCATGAGGTGGAAAAAAAATGTGAGGTTTTTTTGACATGTTCATGATGATAATTACTGAAAGCCAGCCATCTTACTGTGTTTTTCCCCAGCAGAAACAGACCAATCCACCCAAGGATTCTTCACAACTAAGATTCCGCTAACAACTGAATTGGCAAAGACAACTCAGGGTAATGCTGCTTCCCCACTTCTGCGTAGTAAACCATTTCTTTTTTTTTTTTTTTTTATGTTTAAACCATTTATTTTCATTTTTAATCATGAAAGAAATTTTCTTTTCAGAATGTCAGTTTTCATCACAGTGAAATAGTTTTCTTCACTTTATAGGTGCAGGACATCCACCGAATAGGAATATTTATGTGTACATCACTTGAATGTAGGGAAGACCGGTTCTTTAGTTAGAACTTTGCTTTTGAATGTAGGGTTGACCATGTGATGCTGAGAACTAAGAATGAAAGCCTCCTCTCACCATGCTTTTTTAGTTTGTTTAACCTTCGTTTGCCTCATTTTCCACATCTGATAAATAAGAATCTGTGTTAGCTTTTTTCTCCTCCCCATTCTCCTCCCTCTCTCCTACCCCCTCGCGCTCCCTCTCTGCCTCCCTCTGTCCCATCTCCTCTACTCCATAACGACATTGATACTGTGGCCTGAGGAAGGAAACTTGTAAGGAGAAGAAACAATTTTTAAAGATGACTTAATATTTAAACATCGAGGGAGGGTGTGGGGGAGATTTCCTTTTCTTTCTTTCTTCCTACTTCTTGGGAAATGAACTTGCTTACACAAAGCTCTATCTCCATGTTCTCAATAGTCTATCCTTTTTGTATTTTTCTGTCCTACTTAGGTTATAACCAGTTGTGGATTTCCGGGATTTTTGTGGATTTTTTTTTTCTTTCTGTTCTAAATGATCCCTTTTGTTCATCTCTACATCTTTCATATGGTAGGAAGTCTAAAACACAAAAGTAAACATTTTTTTAAGGAGTTGGAAGACACATTTATTTTACTTATTGTCAGTTATAATTTGTAGAGAAAATCTGGTGTAAGAAATTTGAAATAATAAGAAAAATTGTTTAAAAAATATAATTTTAAGGTATTTTATAATAAGTAAAACAGTACATATTCTAAATAAACATGACTAGAACACTTCATGGCATAGGATAGTTCTTGTAAATTTTCTCAATCTTTTTTTACTTGTTTGGTTTCATTTTTTATTATGTATTAAATGTTTATTACTTACATTGTTACCTTTCTATTTATTAACTTTTTATTTCTTTATAAATCCACACAGAAGAAACCCAACATAATGGCAGCCCTCCCATGTCTTCATGACCAGCTTCAACCATTAACAACAGATGGTCAATCATGTTACATCCATAACACACCCTAATTTTTGTATGGTTTTTTTTTTATGTTTTTGCTTAATAGAAGCAATTAATGTCTTAACAGAAGATAGTTGATTCTCATAATGAAATACATTGTTTTTGCAGCAAAATATATAAACATTTATAGCAAGCAACATAAAAAAGACTATTCAGTTCAGGTTGTGTTGCCAGATGAAGAAAAGATTTCAACTTTTAAAGCTTTATAGATTTCAGAATTGAGAATAAAAGATTAGAGGCCTGTTTTTTCCTTGCTTTGCTTTTTCTTACTATAATGGGAATGTCAGTACTGTGTCACCATTATTAGTGTATGTGGAATTTTTATCAAATTCTTTCTAGAATATGGTTCTACTAGATATGAATTTTATAGTTGGTGGGGTGTATATCCAGGATCTGATTTCATTATATGAAATGTCTTAATATATCTATACAACGTACTCTATGTTCTGAGGATTGTTAGCTTGAGCCTGAACTGTGCTGCCCTAGGATTCATACTTTTCTAGGCTTGGACCAAGGATCTTCAGAGTGAGCTTACCAGGGATTCACTGGTATGAGGCGACAAAGAACACCCTAGGAAAGAACCTTTCTTAAGGGTGGGGTTAGCATTAGCCATCTGGTCCGGCCCAGTGGGCCTTCATTACCAAGAGGGTCCACTTTCACAAAGGCATGCTGTGCGTCCCTAGGATCACCCTCATCAAACCCTCATGAATGTGCCTGAGCTCTGTGGAAGAGGAAGTCGGTCATCTGTTTTGTTGTGTTTTTAGCATCAGGCATCAGAGGCCTAAGACAGCACACAGCAATTTGAGAGAGGTGCTAGGGGGTGAAATGACTCCTCTTGGGCTTTGCACTCTCCCCATGCATGGACCACGACCTGTGTGGCTTTTTGATCTCTAAACCCTCCACGATGGGAGCCAAGTGCTCCAAAGAAATTTTGTGCCTAAAATCTCCGACATAGAGCCTGGTAGTAGAATCTCCAACCCCTGTTCTCAGGGACAGCCTTGCTCCGTTGTCTACTAAGACAATTCCCTGCAGCACGCCATAACCCAAAACCTGAAATAGTCAAACTCTTCTTTGCCTTTCTCACACTGTAATAGAAATCCACTTGACTAGACATACTATGGGGACACTGTTTATTTTACTTATTTCTGCTCCCTTATCCCTGCCCCACCCCAGGGAAAGTTATATCTTTCTTACCCTCTCCCTGTGCTGGGTAGAACATGACAACTTCAAGGTGTTTCTCCTATAACCCTGTTTGTTTCATTTTGGAGTTATCTTCATGCTTCATACAAGTTAATACTTCATAGTATTTTTTAATGCTCTTAAACAGATTTTTATAAAACTAGGTACAAAAGCATCTTTTAAAATTACTAGTCATTAAAAACTATGTAGACATATGTTCACAAAGCTCCTTTTCTTTTTTTTTTCTTTCAGTTTAAAATTAAAGCCCTAGAGCAGTTTTCTCAAGGCCATGTGTTATTCAGTGATGAACTATATGAGTACCTCATAGTCTAAACTTAAGTTATACTCCAGTGCTTGTATGAAAAATTCTGTCTAGATTTAAGTAAAGATTGTGGGGAAAAATAAAGCAAAAATTCTTATCCTATGGCTTTGAAATACTGAGTATAGTCCTGATTATTTCTGTGTTATTTATTTTCTCTGTTCTGCTTTATATCCCTTTCCTGTCCAAAGTTTTAAAATTCATATTTGTCCTAGAAGGAGACTAATAAGAACCATGGCCCTGGTATTTCTTTAAGCTAAAACAATCAAACCTTGAAGAAATTAAGATGAAAAACTGAAATAGATTCAATTCACAGGGACTCCTACCACCGTCAAAGAGAATTTTGAAGAAAAGCATTTGCAAATCATCATTACACCATTTGAGGGTATAATGAGAATTAATTTTTTATAACATCAGTACCTCTGTTCACTCTAGCTGCTACACTTTGAAAGGTCCACACTAAACCTACAGAGAATTTCAGTATGCATCTGCTGTTTTTGGCCTGAAGTATGGCAAAATTCTGCTCATCAGTCTTCACATTGGAAGCTTATAAATGAGCTACGTTATAATCTGTTTCACAGGTGTATTTTTTTTAACTTGGTAGGCAAAGCATTGCTGACTTATGATTATATAAATACCCACTCAAGATGTGAACAAAATCATCAAAATGATGTAATCTACTTACAGACTTCGCAAGAAAAATTTTTTCCAGTCTTAGCTAAAGCATTACCAGGAGAGTTAGTGGTAAGGAGGCAGTGAGTGTGGTATGTTGGGGGGGTGCGGCGCAGAGAAGAGGGAAGGGAAAGATGGAGGAATTCCAGGATGAACACACACTTTAAAATCTTAGGAAGCAAAAGTATTTCACCTTAGTTTCTCATGAATTTGCCTGCCTACAATGGTCGCTCATTTTTTAAATTTATTTAGCAAGTCTTCATTAGGTGTCCTCACTGTGCCAGGCGCTGAGTAACAGGAGCAGGAAATGACAAGGTGGTATGTTGCTCCCAGGGCCTGTCCCAGTTCTTGCTCTTTGCTCTCCCTCTCTTGATAGGCAGGGCAACGGAAGTCATTGTCTCCCACTCCTAAAGCTTTAATGGATAGGACTAATCGAGTATTCATTTCAGGGTTCATGAGCTGGGACAGTTTGATAGAGACCACATGTTCCCACTCTTTCAAACTACCTAAAAATATATACTTTTTTTTTTTAATCTTTGAGATTACCTGTCTTCTTTGGCAAAATAATGTTCCACTCTGACTTCCTAATTGAGAGATGTGGATGGATGGATGGCTAGTTGGCTTATATGTTTACCATGTTAAGCAACCGTTCGGTAAAATAAATGCCCTTGAGAAGCATGGACTAAATGGAGACTAATCCTTGACATACATTACAAATGACACCCCACTCTGTGTGCCTTTATTTCCAGTCATGAATGTGTTTGCTTGTTTTATTTTCCTTCAGCAGCAATGCTGTAATGCATAATTACAGGTTTCAGAACATCCTTTCCACTTCCATGCAATATGTATGAGTTGCTGGTCCCTAGGATGCTAAATCCCATTTAATGGAATGTTGGTTATTAAATATGAAGCCTTTCCTCTGTTTCAGCACCACACAGATTGTATACTACTCCTGTGAGGCCCAGAATACCGGACAAAGCACACATCAGACCCAGTAAGTTGTTTCTCTTTCTGGCGACCTAAATAATCAGCACACCTGAGAAGGTATAAAATGTGTTGAAACAGCAACATACACCAAAGGAGGGATATATATCTCTAAATGGCAATAAAGGATGTGCAGAAATTCAGATCCTTGTGGATAAGTGGAGAGGAAATGATGAATCCATAGTAATGATAAGATGTGACCAGATATAAAGACTCCCTTGGAACTTTATCAATAGAGAAGTATTTTTAGAATAGCATTTGTGTGTAAATCTCACACATACTCCTTCAGTTTTCCATGGCAATTATAGGAATAGCATTAGAGTTAGCTATTTAGATACTACTAGCTCTCAAATGTTATTGAAGAAGAGATGGTCTCTTCTAGTATAAAAGACCCTTGTTCTGGGAGAACATTTTTCCTTGATTCCTTCAGATGATAAAACACACACACATACACACATTTTACAGGTCATATACAGTAAAAATGATAATTAAGAAGTGGAAAATACTTTACATTTATTGGATTCTCCAAAAATTCAAGCATCTCCCTCACTGGAGCTTGTTAATGAAAAGTTAACTTGGACAGGTTGATTTGGTTCGTGTAAATTGCTCCTATGCTAAAGCACAAGTTGGACCAAAGACACTGACGTTTCCTGTCCTTTTGTTGCTGCAGTTCTAAGTCTTCTTAAAGTTCTAAATAATGAAGCTGCATTATAAATTAATGTTCTTTGTGTACCATCTCTCCAGGCATGTGGGAAAAGAAACAAATAATTGTTTTTATCCTTTGGTTTATGGATAGTCCATGTGTTTTTTGTCTTTTGTTTTTGGGGGCTTTTTGCAGTAATTTTTCCAAGACCTAAAGGTAATTAGGCACAGACATCTTTTATAAACAAATGTATCTCCATGTGCCCTCTGTACCATGATAGCTGTTGAGAGCTTAATGTGTGGCTGGTTATATTAAAGGTTTCTACAAAATAATGAAACCGTAACAACAATGGCTAACATTGAGGGCTTGCCATGTGTCTTGTGGGGTACAGTTAAGGAAGCCAAGGCATGAGAACAGCTAGGAAGTAGATTTGAAGGCAAGCAATCTGGTCCAGAGCTTGCTCTCTCAACCACAATATACTTCGTGCTTTTTCTGGAAGAGTCTTCCAGAGGCTAAGGCAGGTGACCTCTTAAAGTGCTAGTAATGCTCTGGCTCTCCATAGAGTGGGAGAGAAATTAAAATGATTTCATCATACTCTATGTTCAACAATGGACTTGTACCAGGTTAAGAGGGAACACCCTTATGTGGAGACCCCTGCAAAAGACCCACCAACTTATGAGTTATGAATTAAGAGCTTGGCACATAAAGACACTTCAAGTTTTGGTTTTTCATTGGGTATATAGGTGGTCCTGATCTTTCTTCAGTTCTGTTTTGGAATGTATCTAGTGCTTAGAAATTAAATGAGGGATTTCCCATTTAGACATATAAATCCCCTTGCCAGTTGGTTCTTCAAGCCAGTGATCACCTCAGAGTAAAAAATCAGGTCTCTCTTCCCAAAATCAAGTCTATGATTTTTTAAACCAAAATTGTGGTTTCCATATTCTAAACAGTAGTTTTTGATGAGTGATAATTTTTCTGTTGCCTACTTAAATGACTTCCAATTCTTTGGGAACTTTTGTTTGCCTTGGCTGCAAAGTTTTAACAAGAACATTTCTAACCTATTTATTTCCCACTTTATTGTAGTTCTGAATAAGACAACTATAAGACCTAGTAGACTCAAACCCAGTAGGACTCCCAAAGAGAATGGAATGGGAACAGGTAATGATCACAAATTTATTTCCTTTTGATCCTCTCCAAACTATAAGTGTTTTCATTCAAAATTTGTACGTTTGTTGAATTCACACTTCAATTTCTTTTTACCAGTTTTGGAAGTTCTTAATAGAACTGGAATTGGAAATTATAACTCATTCCAAAATCAAAATTTGCAGTGTCTCTGAAAACACTGAAAAAGAATTTTTCTTTTCTAAACTCAGTCCACTAAATCATATATAGTCTTGATTCTTGAAAATATCCTGATTAAATATATATTTTTATATATATATTTAATATATATTATAAATATATTAACTATATAACATATAATATGCATTATTGAATGAAAATATCAAAATAGCTGTTTTCTCTAATTTCAGAAACACTTTCCATACATAGGCTCAGTCTTCAAGACTATAATCACTTTAAGTTGGTAATTTCACGAGTACCATTACAATTTTTTTATAAGACCTGAATTTGTTGGCAATGTGGAACATGATATTCTAATAAGAGAAGCTAGCAGTTGATCATCCTGGCTACAGGCATAGTAACATTTCCAAATCATTCAGCTTAATTCAGGAATTAAATGACATTGCCTTAATCCTGCCAGATCAGTGGGAGTAGGAATCATACAGATAACTAAGACAATCATCTGACAAAAGTTCAAACATCTCACTCACTAAGTGGATAAATGGTAGTTATGAGATGCCCTAATATGGGATTGCATCATTTCCTTGCTTTATTTATTTATTTATTTATTTATTTATGAGAGAAGGAGAAGAGGGGAGGGACAGAGCGAGAGAGAGAGAGAATCTTAAGCAGGCTTAATGCCCAGTATGGAGCCCCATGCAGGTCTCGATCTCATGACCCTGAGATCATGACTTGAGCCAAAATCAAGAGTTGGACACTGAACCAACTGAGCCACTCAGGCACCCTGCAATATTTTTTTAAATAATACAAATCACGTGCTTGCTTATGAAAAGAGCATGGAAATTAGAATTTCGTTAATGCATATTTAATCCATGATGGTTCCCTAATGAGAGTGAGATGTGAATAATACCTGAAGATATTTGGTCTAAAAATCATTTAGATTTGTTTTAAAATGTTTTTTCTACTAGGTTTTTACAGTGTGTGAAGTCCTAGGAATCCATTTTCCTTCAAACCAATTAATGTGGCAATTACTATAAATCCCTGACTCATGAAAAGTAAGAAAGCATTCCAATATTTATTTGTGCTCAGCTATTCTTTTTATTATTCCCAACTGTGGGATTAGGCAATGCATAGTTTCTTGGATTGACATAAACAGTCTGGCTCTAAACAGAACCACCTTGTTAATAGTCAAAGCACTTCCCTGGAGTTTGTCCAAGTAAAAATAGAAGAAAGCATTTGTGTCAACAAAGCAAATGAAAGAACAGGTAGCTATGATCAAACTTGAAAGTGATTAACTTTCAGTGTAATCAAGTACTGATTCTCACTAGGAAAATGCTAATTGTCTTCCAGAAGGAAAACAGCATTATTATAAGTTTATCTGCAATATAAACATTTTTTTCCAGAGCCCCTTGTAACACCAACTGACATCTATGACCCTTTTGTGTAGATGAAATCAACTTTGTAGCATTAACTCATCTAGTTAAACTGTGGAAGAAAGTCCTCTTAACGGAGCTTCATTTTAATTAGTTGGTGGCTAGTAGAAATGGGCTGGTGAGCACAGGTAGACAAAGCAGAGCTCAGTTTCTGCCTCCCTTGCTCTACTTCCATCCCCCAACCAAAATGCATTGTACCCATTCTATTGTCTGTCGAGATTCCCCTTTGGGGAATGCTGCCCATCTGTGGGGAATGAAGTCAGCAGACAGCATCCTCTTTCAGCTCCTTCAGAATCAGCCTCAGCTGAGAGAGCTTTGACTGGGGGTCAGGGTGATACATCTCCAGGTCTACTACAGATCACATAACAACCAAATGGTATTTGCTTCAGGAATGCAAGGTTGGCTCAACATTCAAACAGATTTGTATAATTCACCACATTAACAGAGAAAAGGAGAAAAATCATACCATCACCTCAATAAATACAAAAAACCATCGTTAGACAAAATTCAAAATCCATTCATGATGAAAACTCTCAGAAAACTAGGAATAGAAGGAATTTTCCTCACTCTGATAAAGGATATCTGTGAAAAACCTGCAACGAACATCATACTTAATAATGACAGTCTGAATGTTTTTCTCTTCACATCAAGAACACAAGGATTCCTACTTTTGCCACTTGTGCTGAAAAGAGTAGTGGGGTATTCAGCCAATGCAATAAGGCAAAAAAGGAAGTAGGTGGTATAAAAATTGGGAATCATAGATGACATGTAGGATATAATGAATGGAAAATTTAATAGCTCTCAGACTATTTGCTTAGGGAATAAGGTCTTTAGGGATTCATGAGAAAAAGAGTGTCTTAAAATCTATTCTCTCCAGATTACTGACTTACATGAGTCCACCTTACTTTGACTCTTCATAGTTTTGTTCTGGCTTGTTTACCAGAAATGCAGGTATTTACATTAAGTTTATTTTCTCCTCTGACCCAGTCCCACTATCTCATCCACACTTACTTCTCGCTTCTATCGAGTCTTAATGAGAACTTAATTTTTGTGTCACCTGATCCCTAATCAACTTTCACGTCTTGTATTTATCTTTATTATTCATCCATCTCACAGACATTTTCCTGCAGTTTTTCTTGCTAAAATTTTTAGCCCAGATATTTTACATTAAAAAGAAAAATCAGTTGATAAAGGAAGTGTTTAGGATTTATAGGACATATTCTTCATGGTTTTAGGCCACTTAAGGTTGTGCCTTTGGAAGAGTCAAAAAGAGATTCTGAGGCCTCAAAACAGTGGACCTTTGATTATTTAGGCCTCTATAAAAATCTTGCAATGATTTCATAAACCCCAGGAATCTTTAAACCATCTTGAGCCAGGTTTCTTATTTCATGACATCATTACAGATATTTGCCCAGCTTTATATGCATTTCTTAGCTATATTTGTAAATATGCCTCCACTTCAAAGTCTGAAATTAGCCTACAAAGTTTGAGGTTGTACGTAGGTCATTTTTCCAGCACTCTGCTTTTAGAGGTTTTCCAGAGATGTGTTTAGGCTTCACTGATGTGTTCTAAAAATTACAGCCAACTTGAGATCTACACTGCAGAGAGGCAAGAGGCATGCACTAGACCAGGAGATCACACAGGCCAAATCTGGCTCACGGCATATTTTCATGAATAAAGTTTTGTTGAAACATAGCCTGCTTTCAAAATAGAATGGTAGAGTGGAACAATTGTGACAGAGAGAGTATGGTCCACAAAGCTGAAAATGTTTACTGTCTGCCCAGCACAGAGGAGGCTAAATTCTTCCAACGGTCAGTCTCCAACTTTTCCTTGTAGAAGGAAGCTGCTGAGTTGTACAGGTACTCTTCCATCCAACCAACATTTATTGAAGGCCCATTAGGTTTCAGGCAAAATGTAGTCTGGAAACCAACCTGACACATGTGGTTTAGCACATACGTTAAATACTTGAACCTGAGACTCCTCTCCCTGCCTCCTAATGAGGAATCCACACTTGCCTGCCCCCACAGAGTGTGCTTGACAACCAGAAACCAGACTCCTCCAAGATGAGGAATGTGTTTTTCTGGGCTGTGGCTAAACCTTCCAGTCTGCTGGCTCATCACTCCTGGCTTTGTAGCAAGGTGTTAAGATTTGGAGACAAAGACACAGAGACCAATCATGCATAAATACCACCTCTTTTTGGTCCCAGGGAATAGTGTCTAATACATTTGGAAATGGATTTTCAGTTTACTGTGTTTGTTTGCAACATTTTTGTTACCATGGTTAAAAATACCCAAATCATTACTTCACTTTTGACAATAAATTGCTAAGGGATAAACTATGAAAATCCAGAGATTTTTGGAGAACTCCCATATGGCAATTGGGAGGCTCATACTAAAGCTCCACTAGGTGCTTCCAGAACCAACACTGCCCTTTCAAAAATATGTTGATTAATCCTGCCTGAGGGAAAAAGAATTCAGGTCACAGCCTGGGCCAGATTGGCTGATTAAATGCCAATTCCTGAGAATTCTTTCTCCAGAGCATCTCTCTTCCTGGCTTTGTCCTTTGCCTTCCCGTTGCCTCTCTGCTACCTCTGGCCTTCACTTGCTCTCTGATTCAGAGCAAAAGAAGTTCACTGGTGTCTGGGCTCTGGTGCTCACATTGCTGCCTGGCTGACATGCAGACCACAGCATGGTGTAGGCATGGCCAGAACCAGAGTTCATCCCCCTGTCCCAGTTCAATGCCCTGTCCCATGGATAACTTTGGCAGGGTTCTTACCAACATTTTTCTACCCTGTCAACTTTTATCTGTTTCTGAAGGCTGAAGAAAGTCCAGGTTAGCTGCTGATTGATTTGGGTACGTACATTTAAGGATCATAATAGTAAGATGCTTCTGCCTCTATCTATAAAGAAAGTGACACAATAGCTGGTTTCTGATTTTTCTCTTAATTAGAAAAGAAGCCAGGGAAATTGTATCTTTGGTCTTACTCATAAAGTAGGCTTGCAGAATTCTGGATTCTCTCCTGTATCTCCAATTGACTAGCCCCTGTGGCTTGGAGGACTTGTCCACTGTCAGGATCTGCTATTCTCTGAGTCCCACATATTAGTGGCATGGTTGGATGACATATGTTTACCAGCCAGGGCCATTTAGACCACACACAGTGGTGATGCCTCAAACCACCCAAAAGGCAGAAGGTAGGACTCTAAAGCTAAAGTCACTTAGCGTCTTTGTGAGGAATAGCAGAAGCAAGAAGCTGACAAGAGGAAGACAGTACACTGTACTATGTCACTTCGTGGTTAAGAGCTAGGCTTTAAGCTGGGCACATGTCGGTCTAAGTCCCAACACTTCCTAGCTGTGGGTTGCTTACTCTTCCCTTGCCTTGGGTTTCTTCATCTGTGGGACCTGAATGGTATCTCCCACACAGAAGGGTTGTATGGATCAAATAAGGCAATGAATATGGAAGGTGCTTTGAACCAAAATACTTTGTTTTTGTTTTCCAGTTAAAAAGATTTGGGAAAATGCTATGAAGAAGAATCACTAAAGGCACACACAGTCTACTAGCCATCTAGAGCCTTCTAGAATACACAATACATTTTTTACTCTCAAGGAGTAGTGGTAAATCAGGCTTACTATGCCAGGTTATCCCAGTGAAACAAATGGAAGTACTTTCCTTTCCTCTGTGCCATGAACAAATGAGTCCTTTTCCAACCAAAACACCCAAGTGAGTCCTTTCTCTGACCACATTACACTGAGCGTGAGCACAGGAAGAAGACTAATGAGCCCTTTGTTTTCACCATGCCTGTGGGATTAGCCACAAAACAGTCATTGACCCCAAAAACATATTCTTCCTACTACAAATAAGCAACATTTAATTCATGGCTCCATACAAACATTCTCCATGATTTTATATATTCTCTCTTAACCAAGCAGCACAGAGTATGGGATTGCAATACCGGGGTTTATAAATTAATGTTAATTATAATTATAGTATTAATAATAATTATAATAATAATTGTAATGTTATTACTGTGTTTAAAATGTTGATTTATAATAATAATTTAATTTCATTTAATGTGCTAATACCTGATTTTTGGCAAGTAAAGCTTCTCCTGTATTTTAATCAATATTATTTTAATGTATCTGCCTGCACATTAAACAAGATCGAGTGTGTAATGTCACTACATGGTCCCTAGAACACAGTGAATAAACTTGTGATTTTGGTTGTCCTTGTTAATGTACAGACTAGTATACTAAATATTCTTATTTTTTAGGTATGTGAATTATAGTCAGGTCCTCAGAGTATGGATTTTTTTTTTATGTTGGTCACCATAAAGTACTTCATTAGTTTTTGATGTAGTGTTCCATGATTAATTGTTTGCATATAATACCCATTGCTCATTGCAATATGTCCCTCCTTAATACCCATCACTGGGCTAATCCATTCCCCCAACCCTCTCCCCTCTGAAACCCTCTGTTTGTTTCCCAGAGTCCATAGATTCTTGTCTGTTTATATGAATAACGTCTGTTTCTATTCTTTCTTAATGATGACTGTCAGCCACATCGGGGAAGATCATTTTGTAATGTAAAAGCATAATAATTCAAAAAATAAGACAAAATCTAAATTGGTTCCCGTATCCTTAGGATAGATATTCAAACTCCAAGCATGGGTATTTAGGTGAATGACTAATAACCACCAGATTATATTTGAGAGACTTAGGAGATAAAATCTCACACAAAACAATTTTCAGATCAATTTCTTCCAAATAGCAATTTGGAGCTCTGTGCCTGCCCAGGACTAATTTACAAGTCTCAAAGGTACAGATCCAGTTTGTGGCCAAATCAGCGTAATAGCCAAGGCTTCTTCAGGAATATTTTTAAAGTCAATTTACCAAGGATAAATCCAAACACATTGGAATTTTAAGAGGTTTTAGGGGGTATTGAAAGGGTTGGAGGAAAACTTTTTTTAAAACCACAGATTGTACTCATGAGTATTGGCAAAAAATGGCCAATCACTGAAGGTGAACTCTGCCTAGTGAGACCATACCACCCAGGAAGGCAGTACAGTGTGGGCATCATGGAAACCTAAGACAAAACCATGATCCATAATCAAACACTAACTCTTCAGAAAAACTATTACAGCTAATGAATATAGGGCTTTGAATATTTTCTATATGCAGACAGGAGAAGCCAATTAAAATGGCCTGGGCACAAAAACACCAGTGCCACTGTTCCGCATTGAATGCACATTATCACTGATTACCAAGTTTCTGTGAAAAAAACATCCAACACGTTTTTGCTGTCTACTTACTCCCTTTCATTATGTCTGCTCATAGGGGTCAAGCAAGTACCAAAGCCATCAAGTGCTGGTAAAAATATGTCAGTGGACTCTACCCACTCCACCAAAAAACCAGGTAAGGAATAAGATACTAACTCCCTTACTTTGCTCTTCTCTGCTACTTGGGCAGTAACTGCAGTGTCAAATGTTGTAGAAAAAACAGCATCCTCACAGCTCTCAAAGAACCATGCCAACAGTACATGGGTACTGCTAAAGAAACATTCTAAAATATTATCTTTGGGGCGCCTGGGTGGCTCAGTTGGTCAAGCATCTGACTCTGGATTTCAGCTCAGGTCATGATCTCAGGGTGGTGAGATGGAGCCCTGCGTCAAGCGTCAGGGGTGGAGTCTGCTTAAGATTTTTCTCTCCCTCTGCCCCTCCCCCACCCTGTGCATGCTCACTCTCGATCTCTGCCCCCCCAAAAAAATTTAAAAATAAAATATTATCTTTGGGGGAATAAATAGTGCTCTGTGCACACATCAAATATTAATAAGAACCTCCAATGGGGTACTAATTCAAGAATCACTTTGTATAATGTTCTGACGGGTCTCAGGGGACAAATGCTGAAGAGTCACTGTGGGTTCTAGTTTTCATCATGTTCAAGTTTTGTTCTTGTGTGATTTACTGTAATATCCTTTAGCCTGATAGGATTTATGTTCCTAATTTAAGACTGTGCTCTATTTACTAGGCCAAAATTATGAAGCTGGTGACTTGGAAAGGTTTGCGTTGAGTAAGAATTCTATGCCATTTCAAAGGTTGCTATGAAACCTACTCTAGTGTATTAATGCCTGGGCTACAGAGCCATATTCTGTTATCACACTCACTCCCCTGCACGTGCACAAGTGCACACTCGCTAGTCTCCCAAGAAGTACTTAAAGTCACAGGGCATTTTCCTAGGTTGCCACTTCTACTTGAAGATTTTTTTAACCAACATATATCATGCAAAGAAAGAGGTGAATTTTTAAGCTAGAACACAAGACTTAAAATTTAGGTTAAGGTGGATTGCTCTAGGCACCTCTAGCCTCGCCAGCATTTGTGCAAAGTATGAAAAGATAATTTGTGCATGGTATAAACAGGTATCTCTTCCCTCTGCCCTTTAGGCAGACTCCTTAGTAAAATGTGCCCTTCCTCTGGGTAGGCAGGCTTGCACCAGGGCTCACAGATGGGTGAGCAGAGTGCGTGTTAAACTTCACCGCCCACTCACATATCCCTTGCCAGGGCCCTTGTGCAGTGCACAACTGTTCATACTGACCCTGCTCTCCACAGGCACAGGCTTATTGCTTCTGCCGTCAAGGCTGCTTTGTTGTAATCTTTTGAGAAGTTCTGAAAGCGTTTATTCAATTATAATTATATAATAGATTTGGGTGGTGGGGTGGAGCATCCACTAAAGGAGAAATTATATCCTTTAACAATTTAAAGCTAAAATGACCTAAGAAATTGTAGTCTGAAAATCAAAGGCAATGGGGGACAGTGAAACTCAGAAATACTGTCGTGCCTATATAAGAAACTAAAGATGTTAAATTCTCTATATCTGTACAGTTTTAAAAGGCAGATAGACCTATAATTAGAGGATATTTTTTCCATATGTTAATGGACTTCATTATTCCTGGGTATATTACCAACATTAATTTAGAGGAATATCAGAATATATTACTCATAGATACTCTTCTATGGAATCTGTCCTCTGTCATCCACTCAGTACTTATCAAATGTTATATTTTTTAAAACCTGACATGTTTATGGCATGAATCCTTATGGCAACTTTATCTGTAATATAATCTCGTAGCCGCAGTCCCAGGCACTCGCCGCCCACCCTTGCCACCTAGACCTGTGCCCCCACGAAGAAAACCTTTACCACCAAATAATGTCACTGGCAAGCCAGGAAGTGCAGGTATGTCGGTCATGTACCTTCTCCCTCCATGATGCTCATTTGCCTAGACAACCACAAGCCCTTCTTGGCATGCTAGCTCAGGCGATAGACAAGTCCTTGGTGCATGGGACATGTGCCTGTGTTGGCCCCCAAAACCGGACCCTGTGAGTCCACTGGACACTGGGCTTCTATCCTGATTCTGGGTGGGTGTGGTCCCGGAAACTATCCCTGTGTATCTATCTAGGCCAGTTTGCTTTTTAAACATTGTGAGACAGAAGCTCACTCAGGCCTTTCAACAAGTGCATTATTTTGGATGAAGTATTGTACATTGCCAACCTATAGGGGGTAATGGAAAATGTGATATCCCGTCGTCTCTTTACCATTATCTCCTGAAATGAAATCCTGTACATCTCACTGAAACCTCCGCTGTTCACCAGCCTTCACGCTGGCCCCAGTATTACAGTACTAGCGGAGAGACTGAGGGCTAAAACATGAGCAGCTCTAGCCTGTGCAACAGGGCAAGAATATATACTGTAGAAGTCAACAGAACAGATGTTCTATTAAGCAACTTTTTCCTTCTTCTTCAGCCATGATCCATGCCTGCCAGTTACTCTCCAGGTCAAGCCATTCCATCTCCTTGATATCTTTCCTGTAAAACACCTTCCATCTAATCCCACTGCTCCCTACGTAGTTCACCTGCTCTGCCTTTGCCCACAACAGCTGCTTTTGTCTTTTGACGTCCTTCTTGGCCACCAGACTTGCAACCTGACCATTCATCCCCTTCTCATCTCATTACTTTCCTAGTGAAAATCTTTCAGTGGGTCCTTGTCACCTAAAAACAATGTCCAAATCTATGGTATGGAAGGCCTTTCATGATCTGGCCTTTCCTGTCCTTCCACAGTCAGCTCTCACAGTACCCCAGAGTACTCTTGGCTCTCACACCACAAGTAGTCTTGTGCTTCCCTGGCTTGTCTCTTCCTGCAACCTCTGCCCCAATATAGCTCTCATACCTACCTGCTGATTATTTCACTTCTTTATTGGCACAACCTCTGTGAAGACATTCATACCCTCCCCTCACCCACCCTTCATCTTTCCCCAGAGACATTACTACTCTGTCTGCTTACTTTCTCTGTGACCTTATCCAGTTCTTTCACAATATCTACAGCGCTTCAACATATTTGGCTCACACATCTATTTTGATCAAAGACACAGGTTTTGTCTTCTCTCCAAGCCTGTCATATAGTATAAGTGCTGAATAAATATTTATGGAATAAATAAATGGGGAACTTGCCAGTGCTCCTATAAAGCCTGACTGCTTTGGCTCTCCATTACAGGAATCATTTCATCAGGCCGAGTGACTTCTCCACCCCTGAGGGCCACACTTAGGCCTACTGAAGCCCCTTCAGAAAGAACAGAGACAGATGAAAAGCAACCGACAGCTCCTGCCTCAGGAGAAGATCTTGGTTAGTATGCCAGTCACTTCACACTGGATGCCTAGCTATGAAGTACTAAAAGATTTCAAGTTAAGGGGAATAGAGTCTCAGTTCTGGATTATCTGTTTTATTCAATTTTGTGATTAATATCAGTCCTTTGAAATTTTAAAATTATACTCATGTTTAAAGCTTTGAGATAGAATAGTCCTTCCCTTCATAGACAGAGAAGAAGGTACCCAAGTTTTTTAGAGAAGTCTTCCTGAAAAGATCTAGATTACCCAATGTTTCTCACTAAATCAGATGTCATTATTAATCATACATATCTTGGGGTGCCTGGCTGGTTCGGTCAGTAGAGCATGCCACTCTTGATCTCAAGGTCATGAGTTCAAGCCCCACGTTGGGTGTGGAACCTAATTAAAAAATAAATTATATATTAATTTATTAATGGGTATTGCCTACTTTAATCTTTAAGTCATTATTTGGTATACTCAGCACAACTGCAGCAGAACACAATTAAAGGCCTTTTATTGTGGACAGATATTATAATTATATGCAAGCAGTTGACCAGGAGGCATATTAAATATTTATAGTTTTTAATACTTCATTTTCTTGAGAAGCTTTTTTATATTTTGCTAAAATCATTTATTATCTTCTATTCTCAGGTAATATAACTGACTTTAGCTCAAGTCCAACAAGAGAAACTGATCCTCTTGGGAAGCCCAGATTCAAAGGTAGGTATGATTGGCTCCAAATCTGAATTTTAGCCAGGCTTTCTTAGACTGAACTATCCATTAGCTTTTGCTGTGTAATAACTGCGAAATCTTAGTAGCATAGTCTAATAAGGATTTATTTCTCATGTGTTTCCAAGTCACCTGAGGGTCAGTAGGTTGTGCTTTACTAGGTGGTTCTGCTTCCAGCAGCAGGTACAGCTGGGCCTCCCGTGGCTTGGGTTCAGCTACGCTCCACATTTTTTCACTCTGGTCCTAAGGATGAAGGACCAACAGTGACTCAGGAGCCATTTTAATGACAATACAAAGTCAAGAATGGGGAGTTCAGAAACACAACAGCATTTCAAGCTCCTCCTTGTTTTATATCTGCCAATATCCATTGGCCAAAGAAAGTCCCATAGCCCACCTCAAATCAAAGATTGGGGAAGTATACTCCTTCCATGGATGTAGAGAATATTTTTGAACAGTATCAAGTCTACCACAGTAAGAGAGCTATGATATAGAGCCCAGTATTTCCTTTTTGTAATATTTTTTTCTGAAGTGTAGAATTTGATAAATCTTAACATATGTGTACACCCATGAACCCATCATCACAATCAAGATAATAAATACATGCACCACCTCCAAAAGTGTCATCATGTACTTTTATAATTCCTCCATCTCACTCCTCCCACCAAATCTTTAGTTCCTAGATAATCACAGATCTGCTTTACTATAAATGTGTATGCATTTTGTGGATTTTTATGTACATGAAAAAATACAGTATGAACTTTTTTTGGTCTGGTTTCTTTCATTCAGCATAATTATTTTGAGATTCATCCATGTTGCAACATGTATCAATAGTTCATTTCTTTTATTGCTGACTGGTATCCTATTATATGAATATATAATTATTTATTAAACCTGTTTATGACATTTGGGTTTTTTCTAATTTTTTTACATTACCAATAAAGCTACTATGACCATTCATGTACAAGTGTTTGTATAGTCATATGCCTTCATTCCATTTGGATGTGAATGCCTACAAGAGCAGTGACTAGATCATTTGAGTGTATATTTAACATTTTAAGAAACTACAAACTGATTTTCACAGTAGTTGTGCTGTTAACCTTTCTGTCAGCAGTGTATGAGAGTTCCAATTCCTCCACATCTTTGCCAACACTTGATCCCAGGATCCTGAGATCATGACCTGAGTGCAAATCAAGAGTAAGACACTTAACTGACTGAGCCACCCAGGCTACCTGAGATTCTTTGTATTTTTTGGTAGAAGACCTTTTTCAGATACATGCTTTACAAATATTTTCTCCCAGTGCGTGGCTTCTGTTTTTTAATTTTAATAAATCTCAGTTTATTAATTTGGTTTTTTTATATACTATATTTTTGGTGTTGTATTTAAGAAATCATTGACCAATCAGAGGTCATAGAGACCTCTTCCATTTCCTTCTAGAAGTTTATCTGCTGTTTCCTTCTAGACGTTTTCTGCTTTTACATTTAGGTCTATGATCCATATTGTGTCAAATTTTGTATATGATACAAGGTGTGAAACAAATCAGTTTCCTTGCTTGTGTGTATAAAATTGTTCCAGCATCATTTGTTGAAAAAAACTATTCTTTCCATGGAATTTCATTTGTACCTTTGTCAAAAATGAGTTGTCCATATATTTGTGGAACTGTTTTAGCTCTCTAGTCTGTTCTATGGATCTATTTATCTGCCTTTACATCAGTACCACCATGTTTGTATTATTGTGGTATTGGTATTGTATTGATGATTCTGGGTCCTCTGTATCTACATCTGAATTTTAGAATCAGCTTATCAATGTCTAAAAAATAGCCTGGTTATATTTTTATTAGAATTGCATTGAAGGTATGGGTGAATTGGGAAAAATTGACAGCTATACAACAGTTAAGTCTTCCTACCTATGAACGGTGGTGTATTTTACCATTTATTTGGCTCTTCAATTTTTCTCACCAATGTTTTTAGTTTTCAGTGTACAGAAAACCATAAAAATAGTATTTTTATTTCAATTTCTAATTATTCATTGCTAATATATAGAAAAATTAATTTTTAAATTCCCAAAACCTTGTAAAACTCAGTACCTTTTCTGTAGATCCATTGGATTTTCTACATGCAGAATCATGTCATCTGAGAGTAAAGTTTTACTTCTTCCTTTCTAACTTGGGTGGCTCTTTTCTTGCCTTATTGTACTAGCAAGACCATCCAGTAAAATACTGAATAGTTACAGTGAGGCTGGATATCCTTTTCTTATTCCTGACTTTATGGAAGAAGCATTCATCCTCTCACCTGAATGTAATTAAGTATGATGTTACCTCATAGGTTTTTCATAGATGCCCTTTATTGGGTTGAGAAAATTCCCTTCTGTGTCTGCTTTGGTGGTAACTGTTATCAGAAATGAGTGCTAGATTATGTTTAATGATTTTTCTGCCTTTATGAAGATGATAATGTTTTTACTAGTTTCTTAATGTAATGAGGTAATTGTTTTTGAATTTTCAACTTTTCATTCCAGGGACAAACTCCACTAGGTCACAATATATTCTCATTTTAATATGTTGTTGGGTTTAATTTGGTAAAATTTTGTTTAGAATTGTATTCAGTGAAGGATATTGGTCTATAGTTTTCTTTTTCTGTAACGTCTAAGTCAAGTTTTAGTCTCAGAATAATGCTGAACTCTCCTCCCTCAGTTTCAGAGTTTAGAATTGGTATTGCTTCTTCCTTAAATGTTTAGTAGGGAAGAAGAGTATTTTTCTTCCCTAGTGAGTTTTGGTAATTTTTGTCTTCAATTTATTGGTCCATTTCATCCAAGTTGTCAAATTTATTGACATAAAGTTGTCCTTAATATTCTCTTATTATTTTAATATCTGTAGAATCTGTAGTGATGTCACCTCTCTCATTCCTGTTATTGATAATGTGTAAGTTTTCTCTTTTGCCTAATAAGTCTGGCTGTAGGTTTATTAATTTTTTTGACTTCTGAAAAAGTCAACTTTTTGTTTCATTGATTTTGTCTACTTACTCTGATCTTTATCATTTTTTCTTCTGCTTAATTGTGGTTTAATTTACTCTTCTAATTCCTGAAAGTAAAATATATCTTCATTGATTTGATTCCTCTCTTCTTGAATATGGCATTTACTGCTACAGATTTTCCCCTACATATTATTTAAGCAGCATCCAAAAATTTTTGTTATGCTCTATATTCATTTTTACTCTATTCAGAATACTTTTTAATTTCCCTTTTGATTTGTTCTTTGACTCATTGATTATTTAGAAGTATGTAATTTAATTTCTAAATATTTTGAGATTTTTCTAGAGATTATTCTGTTACTGATTTCCAATGTAACTCCATTGTTATCACATGCTCTCAGATACTTAAATCCTTTTAAATTTATTGAGACTTTTTTATGGCCCAGAATATGGTCTATTTGGGGTATGTTCTGTGTGTACTTGAAAAGAATGTGTATTCTGCTATTCTTAAGAGTAATGTTGTATTTGTTTGCTAGGGCTTCCATAACAAAATGCCACAAATGTGGTGGTTTACCCAACAAAAGTTTATTTTCTCACAGTTCTGGAAACCAGAAGTCTGAAATCAAGGTATCATCAGATTTGGGTTCTTTTGAGGCCTCTTTCCTTGACTGCAGATGGCCACCTTCTCACTATGTCCTCATATGGCCTTTCCCTCTGGGTGCACACATCCTTGGTGTCTCTTCCTCTTATAAAGGACACCAGGCACCGCGAATTAGAATCCCACCCGAATTACCTCATTTAATTTCATTTACATTTCTAAAGACTCTAACTCCAAATAGAGTCACATTGGGAATTAGGGCTTCAACACAGGAATTTTTGGGAAACAATTTACATAACAAGTATTATATAGGTGTCGGGTCCAATTGTTTGGTTGTATTGTGCAATTCTTTTATATCCTTAGTGATTTTCTATTCTATCAATTAAAGACAGAAGAAATTGAAATCTCTGACTATAATTGTGGATTTATTTCTACTTACATTTCTATCAGTTTTTGCTACATTTATATTAAAGGTCTATATTTAGATATAGACTTAAACTGCTTAGGATTCTAATAAATTGATAAATGGATCCTTTTTCATTATAAAATTATCTTTTCTGTTTATGGTAATACTATTTGCTCTGAAATCTAATTTGTTAATATTAAATATACACTCAAGCTTTCTTTTGGTAAATGTTACCATGTATCTCTTCTTTTCATCCTTTTAGTCTGAATCTATTAGTCTCTGTATATTTAAAGTGTGCTTCTCATCAGCATCATAAAGCATATAGTTGGTTCTTGCTTTGTTATCCTATCTAATAATCTCTTCATTTTATTTTGGGTGTTTAGAACCTTATATTTAACATGACCAATGATATAGTTAGGTTTAAATCTATCTCATCTTGCTATTTGTTTTCTATTTGTCCCCTCTGCCCTTTGTCCCCTTTTTCCTCTTTTCCAGCCTCCTTTTGGATTTTTTTCCAAAAAAATTTTTTTTTCCAAAAAAAAATTTGGATTTTTTTTTTTTAGTTGAAGTATAGTTGACACAGAATGTAACATTAGTTTCAGCTGTGCCAACATAGTGATTCAACTTTTCTATACATTATGCTATGTTCACTACAAATGTAGTTGCCATCTGTCACCATACAATATTAAGACAATACCATTGACTATATTCCCAATGCTGGACCTTTTATCCTCATGTTGTATTGATTCCATAACTGGAGGCGTGTATCTCCCACTCCCCTTCATCCATTTTGCCCATCCTCTCACCCCCTCTCCTTTGGCAACCATCAGTTTGTTTTCTGTCTTTACAGATTTGTTTCTGCTTTTTGTTTGTTCATTTGTGAGGGGTTTTTTTGTTTTGTTTTTTAGATTCTACATAGAAGTGAAATCATACAGTACTTATCTTTCTCAGTCTGACTTATTTCACTTAGCATAATACCCTCTAGGTCTGTCTATGTTGTTGCAAATGGCAAGATCTCATTCTTTTTTATGGCTGAGGAATATTCCATTATATATGTGTACCATTTTTCTTTATCCATTCATTTGTCAGTGGACACTGGGGTTGTCCCCATATCTTAGCTATTGTAAATAATGCTGCAATAAATATGGGGTTGCATGTATCTTTTCAAATTAGTGCTTTCATCTTCGTTGGGTAAATACCTAGTAGTAGAATTACTGGATCATACATATTTCTGTTTTCTGTTTTTAATTTTTTGAGGAAACTTCATACTGTTTTCCACAGTGGCTGCACAAATTTACATTCCCACCAGTAGGGCACGAGGGTTTTCTCCATATTCTCTCCAACATTTATTATTTCTTGTTTGTTTGTTTGTTTGTTTACTCTAGCTATTCTGACAGGTGTAAGGTGACATCTCGTTGTAGTTTAGATTTGCATTTCCCTGATGATTAGTGTTGTTGAGCATCTTTTCATGTGTCTGTTGGCCATTTGAATATCTTCCTTTGGAAAAACGTCTATTTAGGTCTTGAGTCCATTTTTTAATTGGAGTATTTGTGGGTTTTGGTGTCATGATGTATAAATTCTTCATATATTTTGGATATTAAACCCTTATCAGATATATCATTTGCAAGTATCTTCTCCCATTCAGTAGGTTGTCTTTTTATTTTATTGATAATTTCTTTTGCTCTGCAAAAGTTTTTTACTTTGATGTAGTCCTGATTATTTTTGTTTAAGTTGCCTGAGGACACATGTCTAGAAAAATGTTGCTAAGGCTGATGTCAAAGAAATTACTGCCTATGTTTACTTCTAGGAGTTTTATGGTTTCAGATCTCACATTTAGATCTTTAATCCACTTTGAGTTTTTTTTGTGTGTGTGTATGGTGCAAGCAAGTGGTCCAGTTTCATTCTTTTGCATGTAGCTGTCTAGTTTGCCCAACACTATTTATTGAAGAGACTGTCTTCCCTATTGTGTATTCTTGCTTCTACAACTTCACAAATGTGCAAGAACTTTATATTAGTATAGCAACTTTTCTCTCCTCCTGGCCTATCGTTGTTATACATTTTACTTTTACATGTAAATACATCACACTAAATTGCAATTTTTTTATGTTTAAATAGTAAATTATCTTTTAGAAAGAAATAATAAAAATATTGTTCATATTTACACATATATTTACCATTTCCAGTGCTCTTTGTCCTGGAACAAAGAGAGTGGATTCATATTTCCATATGGCATCATTTTCCTTCTGCCTGAATATCCTTTAATCTTTCTTGTAGTGTGGGTCTGCTGGTTATGAATTCTGTCTATCTTTGTATGTCTAAAAGGTATTTCACTTTTATTAAAAAGGGATATTTTCACTAGTTATAAAATCCTAGATGATAAGGTTTTTTTCCCAATATTTAAAGATGTTGCTCCACTGCCTTCTCACACTCATTCTTTCCAATGAGAGATCTGCCATAATCCTTATCTCTATTGTTCTACATACGATGTGTTTTTTCTGCCTCCTTTAAAAGCTTTTCTCTTTATCATGGGTTTTGCAAAACAATTATATTGGTATAGTTTCTTCGTGTTTGCTGTGCTTAGGTTTCTTTGAAATTTTTTGGATCTGTGGGTTAGAGATTTTATCAAATTTGGAAATTTTTGACCATTATTTCTTCACATATTTTTTCTGCCTGTTTTCTACTCAGATACTACAATTACATGTATATTATACTGCCTGAAATTGTCCCACAACTCACTGATGCTCTGTTCATTATTTTTGATTCTTTTTTTCTTTCCACTTTTATTTTGGGTAGTTTTTATTCCTATGTCTTCAAGTTCACTAATCTTTTTCTGCAATATCATCTCTGTACCACTATCACCCTGTATGTTTTTCATCTTACACGTTTTAGTTTTCACCTCTAGAAATTTGATTTCAGTCTTTTTTATATCTCTTAAATCTTAATTTTTTTACTACATGGGTTATAGTGATAATAATGGTTTTATTGTCCTTGTCTGATGACTAACATCCATGCAAGTTCTAGATTGATTTCAAAGGATTTATTTTCTCCTCATTATGGGTAATATTTTTCTGTAATTTCACCTTGTTGCTGGATATGTTTTTTTAATCTAAAATATTCTTGAATTTTGTCCGGATGTAGTTAATTTACTTGAAACCACTTGACCCTTTTGAGTCCAGCTTTTAAAATTTATTAGGTGAGACCAGAACTGTGTTTAGTACAGGGCTAATTATTCCCCACTTCTAATGCAACACCCTCTTGAGTACTCTTTCCACTGCCCCATAAATTATGCAGTTTAAAACATGCTCAGGGAACCAAATTACTTTTGGATATTAGCATAAGTTAAACCTATTTAGAAAAGTAAGCCAGCTACAACATCCATATCAGGTATCTCAGAGACAGGAATTCTAGATTTTCACAAGTTTGAACAACTCACATCACTGCTTTCATCTATCTGTTTATAATGTGAGACCAAATGTCTTAATACAGATAAATATATTTGAGTTTACCTCCACCTTCTGTACAAGCTCAAACAAGGCTAAATGTCAGAGTCCTTTCTCTCTTAGGTCCTCATGTGCGATACATCCAAAAACCTGACAACAGACCCTGCTCCATCACTGATTCTGTCAAACGGTTCCCCAAAGAGGATGCCACCGAGGGGAATGCCACCAGCCCACCGCAGAACCCACCTACCAACCTCACTGTGGTCACTGTGGAAGGATGTCCCTCATTTGTCATCCTGGACTGGGATAAGCCACTAAATGATACCGTCACTGGTAAGATCATGACATAAGGACTGATACTCTGGTGGGAAGCATTGATATGTAAGTGTGGTACCTGGGTCAAACTATGTCCTATGAGGTATATCTCGGGTAGAAAGTCCTAGCAGAGCGGTATTGCCAAAAGTGTCATATGATGGGAAAAGTTCATCTGTGTCCCAGTGATGGGCTTCCTGTTAATTTAACAGATCACTTTAGGTTGCATCCCTTCCATGTCCTCTCAGAATTCTTTTTCACGGTATAAAGATAGATCTGATCTTTTCCTTATCAAGAAAATTACAGATAACATAGGAGCAGTTGGCAGTACTGATGATATTTAAACCAGTTTCATTTCACCAACCCAATTTCTAGATTGACCTAGGCTGAAAGGTATTCAATTATTTTTTTGGAGAAATTTTTTTAGAATTCTAATCCTGGTCAATTTTCTGTTCATCTCAGGAAATTTTAATTCTGCTATCACTCACCTAATCCCTCTAAAAATGACTGTGAAAAATAAGAAATGAGTCATTCTTTGAGTTTATTATATGGGAATTTATTTATTCATAATGAACAGGTTATTCAAACTAGAGAGGAGGGAGAAATGACTACGAGGCTGAATCAGCTACAGGAATACAGCAAATAGGGTGATTACACAAAGCCCCTGCTATCCATGTCCTGCTATGCCTGGGACAGGTAGACAGGGTCTAGAGGGACCCACTGAGAGGCTGTCAGAATGGAAAGAGGGAAGTACACAGGGGAAGTGGGGAGTGGGAGATTCAGCATCTGACAAAAAGATTTTCTGTGAATAAAGAGGAAAACAGCAGTTATTTCTCCTCAGACAGAACTGTTTGGTCTGAGCAACTTCTGCTATAAACAGCTTATTTTTGCTTAGCTAGCCTTTTTTTATTTACCCATATTTTGTGAATTTCATTTTTCATGCAGACCTTGCTTTTGTTTTAAGAAAGAACCAGCCATTGCTCATATTCCTTGGGGATTTGCCTAGTCCTGCTTCTTTACTTGGGACTATGCCAGTAGGTGCTACCATCCCAATATCTAAAAAACAATCTTTAAGCATTGATTATCTACATGGATTAAAAAGTCCCAAACTCCCAATACATGTACTGTGCTCTGTTTTCATGACCAGATTCTAATTTTCCAATCTTTCTAATAAATAGGTTTTGTTTTGTTAAGTAAATTTTCTCTTAATAGGGCAATACCCTCTGAGAGGGGAAAATACCAATTATTCAGTGTTAGTTCTTTATAGATTCCTTATATCTTTACTGTTAAGGAATTTATAAATCCCATATTTTAATTTTTTTCCATATTTTAAAGTAAGAAATATGGACACATACTAAGTGGCTGTCTTTGCCTTCTGAAATATACTCAGAATGTATCTATAGATGTTCATTCCAAACATTAATATTCTATTTTTATGGTGTTGGTGGACTTATGAAAAAGCTATGATTGCTTTAAAGCACTACAAATGAAAGATATATTTACAGAGCCCAAAAATATACATTCAAAAGCTAGAATTCTGAGAGAAATTCTAATTTTTTATTGTTATGCTAATCACCATAAATTACATCATTAGTTTTTGATGTAGTGTTCCATGATTCATTGTTTGCCTGTAACACCCAGTGCTCCATTCAGTATGTGCCCTCTTTAATACCCATCACCAGGCTAGCCCATCCCCCTACCCCCTCCCCTCTAGAACCCTCAGTTTGTTTCTCTGAATTTTTTTATTTATGAAGGTAAGTTCTATATCCATTTTGAAAACTTGAGTCATTTAGGATAAAAATCGTATTAAATGAGCATTGACTCAAAGGAAAATTAGAGAAGATATGCAGTAAGAGTTTCTAGTACTAAGAGCCTGGGGTAATATTAAAAAGAATATTACAGTCGATGAGTTTGAATGGGGTTTGTTGTTGTTTCTTGTTTTTTGAGTTTTTAATCCTCTGCATGATCTTAGGACATACATTAAACTGAACCCCAATTGACAGCAGGGAAAACCAACTAACAAATTTATAAATTATGTTCTTAATCTGAAAGACTTTCTCTTGATTAGTCCTGCAAATTCAAAGAAACATGCCTTTAAGTGAAATTTATGGAGATCTCTATGCAAACTTTAAGGTCATAATTTTTTTAAAAAGGATAATTATCAAGAAGGCACATGTAAGCAATAGGTACAAAACTTTCATAACTTACATAAGCAGTAGAGACAAAAATCCCATAATTCTATAGTTCAAAATAATGAACTGTCATTCACTATTTGGTTAACTGTTATTTGCAGCATGATTTTAAACCCAAAGATTTTTGGAGCAGCACCATGAATGCGGTGGCCTTTTCCCCAGCTATATAATGAAGCTCCATGGAGAAAGAAACATGGCTTCTACTCAAGTACCACTTCTCACACAGTGCTTTCCCCATACTGAGCATTCCAACAAGAGCAGACTATCTGACTTGCCTAGCAGAATCTTTGGTTACCAGTCCAAAGCTACCACAGGAGCACCATCAGTCTTCACAGTTACCAGGCCTTCCGTATTCCAGTAAAGGGAAAGCAGAAATGGTCAATGAGCAACTCCCAAAATGCTTTGGGACCTTCGTCATCCACTGACCATCCCCATCTGGGAATTGCTAATGTGTAAGATCAGTATACTTCCAGAACTGCAATCTAAATTGCTCACTTTTATGAGAGTGACTTTATGATGCTGTTAACCTTAAGAACAATTAAATCAGCTGAGAGGTAAAGACAAGTATTTGTTGGCTTTTTCGCTTTTCAGAATATGAAGTTATATCCAGAGAAAATGGGTCATTCAGTGGGAAGAACAAGTCCATACAAATTACAAATCAAACCTTCTCCACGGTAGAAAATCTAAAACCAGATACAAGGTAAGCCACCTGTGCTATTACAGGTGAATTCTCAGAGTGCAAAAGTCTTAACAAAGGCATGAAATGACATCGTCTATCTTTGTCTTAAGGGACGGTGTAGTCTGCATTTCATTCTTTGGCTTACTGGACATAGCAATGGATACCTCTAGGTCATGTTTTGCAAATATGCAAGTTATTGGTGGGGACACAAGAGCGGACAAGGTGATCTTGTAAGTTAGCACTCTAGGGGAGAACATTGAACAATAGAAGGTCGTTAATATCAAATGTTGATGTTAAGTACCAAAATTTAGAGAAGGAAAGGTCTGTAGACCAGACACAACTGGAGTGTGTATGATGTAAACTCAATTTGAAAACAGAAGAATTTGGCTGGCTTGCTGGCAAGAGGAGGGCAAGGAAATACAAACTATGTAACAGATACAGATGACAATTTGTGATAGTTAAGGCTTCAAATAACTACAGACCATTCCCAGGCATAGCAGTCCTTTGCTTTTGGGGTCTTTTTATCACAAACAAATGAGAATCAATTTTTGAAAATAGAAATATATGCGAAGAGCAATGCTCTACAATAAAAAACTTTCCTTGGCATCTCTTATTACACATTGGTACCAGGTTGTTTATGTTACTGTGTGGTTTTGTCATTTCTTTTTAAATCTAAAATACCCAATATTTTATCAGCTCATTGTACTGCAAGACAAATAAGGGCCTTATACATTTCTATAAATGTAATAGAGAAGGTTTTTTTGTTTTGTTTTGCTTTACGTGGCTAAATCATCAAATTTATTGCTCAAGGAGATTCTCGAATGGATACAGCCAAGCATTTCCTTAGTAAAGCCAGTGTACTAAATTCATTTGGGGACTAAATATTACTCTCTATGGAAAATCAATTTCTTTTCTCAAACTCCAGAACACTGTTTGATAAGCTGTCTATGCTTTCAGTTAAAATGAAAACATCTTCACATCTTAAGTTATAATACACCAAGCAACATAGATCAATTTTCAGAAAGACACAATCAGGAGTTTTTCCAGATTGAATATTTCATAACTTGATAAAGTTTCTTGGTATTGAAAAAGATCAGCAGAGGCAAAGACTGGAACTCCAGCATTAGAAATTTTTTTTTATAAGTTTTACTTACATCTTTCATTGTCATCAATTGATTGAATTGAATCAGATATTGAATATCAAAAGAGCCTATTTTAGTTCTGATAGCAAAGAACCTCTTCTAATGTTTTCAGGAAAATGGAAGCATCTAGTTCATTCTAGAAGGTTTGCTGTGTATAAACTGTAGTCCTATACTGCAAATATACTTTCCACAAGCATTTTTTTCTTTAAAGTTCTCTATTGTGAGCTGTAATATGGAAAATTTTACAACTGCTAATTTTTTTAAAGGATTTAAGTTAGCCAAAATAAGCATGTATTTCAGTAAAAGCCCATTTGATGATTTTGATTCTGTTTCCTTAGTGAGATTAACAGGGAGAGAGAGACTATTTTTAACATAATTATTTTAAGGAAAGAGTAAAAAAGAAAAAGTTATTTAATTTGGGCTTTTTAGTAGGTGGATTTGGGCTTACAGAATGTGGATGGTTTACAGTTTCTTGCTTTTTATTCCATTTAATACATTGAAGGGGATATTTAAAAGCATCTAATTTCTAAATGTTGATTGTGTTCCTTTTCTGAATTAGGCGATCCTCAAATCTTCTCAGAGTTCACCTCTTAGTCATGATCAGAAGTAGAAAATAATTATTTCAGTGACATTTTTAAGCCTGATTTGCTTATAAAAGATTTGTGTTTCCATTCAGCTAACATTTGTTAAGTGCCAACAGTGTGGTTGATGTTGTGACTGCAAACATGAATAAATGTGGTGCCTGCCCTTGAGGAGCTTGAGGTAGTGGGATATGCAGTTAGTAACCAATTATTCTACACAAAGTGGTGAGAGCTCTGGTAAAAATATATACAAGTTGCAAGGGGAGCCCAGATTGGGTGGCAGTTTACAAAGTCTGGGGAAGTTGGGAAGACTTCCTGGAGGAGATGATAACTGGGCTGAGGCTTGAAGAATGCATAGGAAGGAGCTAGCTGGGTAACTGTAGTAGGGGAAAGAAATACCAGAGAGAATAGTCCATGTCCACACAGAGTCCCAAATGGCATGGTTGTGTGCAGTTAAGAGTCAGCTACTTTCACCAGTGAAAGGGGTGAAAAGTGGACAGAGACAGTGAAAGCAAGAGGTGGAGGCGAGGCTGTGGAGGGCCTTCTGTGCTAGATCAGGGAACTTGGTCAATAGATGGGGAGACCCAGAAAGATGGTAACTGGGAATGACTTGCTCCAAGTTTCATTTTAGTATTGTTAGGACTTTGATTTAGTTGGAACAATCACTTGTGATACTAGAGTCACTTATAATGAGTAACGGTTGGTAGAATAAATCGAACAAAACCTTTTTTTATCTTTTTAAGATTTTATTTATTTATTTGACAGAGAGAGACAAAGCGAGAGCAGGAACACAAGCAGGGGGAGTGGGAGAGGGAGAAGCAGGCTTCCGGCTGAGCAGGGAGCCCGATGCGGGGCTTGATCCCAGGACTCTGGGATCATGACCTGAGCCGAAGGCAGACCCTTAACCAACGGAGCCACCCAGGCGCCCAGAAACTTTTTGTTAATGTCTTGCAAGAGTGCCATTTTGGCATCTTGCCTAATTGGCCAAATAGGTGCATAAGAGAAAAGTACCTCTGGGCTAAGCTGCATTTCATTGTGGAATCACAGGAATACTTAGTCGTGGAGTTCATGTCTAGCTTCCAGTCGTAGTTGTTGTAGGACTTACGGTAATCGTTTCTGGAGTTCATAGCCTTGTCCCTTTTGTCCTGCCCCAAGGCATGTGCCTTGCTTGTCACTCCTGTCCTGATGAAGGCCTGATGGACCTTCTAAGGAGGGACCCCTACAACTACCCAAATCTGAAGATGAGCAAAGCCCAAAGGAGGCTCTTTCTGGATTTGTCCTTGGGAAAAAGTAATATTAAATTTAGGAATCCCTGAAATCAGAATCCCATGCCAAGTTTTGCAACTTGGCATAAATTTGGGGCCATCCAGTGTTTCTATTTGGCTTATTTTATGTTATTTTTAGAGTTTGGTATAACTGAATGAAATCCATTCAGATGGAAAGACTGTTACAAAAGAAAGAAAGGACTGTTAATATTCGTATCTATGATTTGACCAGGACTATGCTGATAGTCTCTGATGGGTCATGATGTAAAAGTTGTATATCAGCAGTTTGAAAACATTTCCTCATTGGTGACAGATACAATACACTGGATATAAAGGGGCTCTAATGAGAATTGTCTAGTCTACAGTTTGTGGGACTTTCTGGTGGTCAAGTAGTTCAGTAGAGCCCAGTCCCCAGTAAGTGGGAATGCATTCTCTGTTCTCTTAAAAGTATGCTAGAGATTAATTTGCTCACTTAATAGGCAAAAAAAAAAAATGTTTTTAGGCTGAAATATTATGTGCTGAAACCCCTATTAATCAAAATAATGAATTAAGGAAGAACAAAGTGAAGTTGAATTATTTCATTTAATTTGAGATTTCTGAAGCCTAGAAACACCTGGGGAAACAAAAGTAATACCCATGAAACAGCTGGAAAGCATGGAAAGACAGCGTACAAGATCACGTGGACCTACACTGAAGTCTTGCAGTTTAAAAGAGGAGAGAAAACCTCACAGAATGAGACTAGATGTTGATGGTAAAGGATATAATTGAATGGAACAGATTGTCAAGAAAAGAATGAGCAACAACAAACAGTATTGTTCTTTCAGATTAAGGCCACGTGTGTGACTTGGGTGAATTACAAGTAGTCCTCTGAGTTACTACTGACAGGGTTACAGTCAGAATAATAAAATTATAAGTGCCAAGTATAGGTTTGTTGGCTTTTTCTTGTTTTTTTTTTTTTATGCAAGCTTTTTCCATACTATCTTATGTTGTTAAGGCAAGATTTCTTTCCATTATATCTTTTCTGCCCCAACCATTAATTGCTAATAAAAGACACATTATAAAATAAAGAGGAAGTATGTACAGGATGCAGTCACCAGGTTGTTTTTATTACCTATAAAGAATGACTTTAGTCACATTTCAGTGCCTGGGGAAAATTGTATTCCCAATAGGCAAACTTTGAATTATAGTTGTTAAAATCTACCACCACCGCCACACCACCACCACCACCCCTCCGTGAGGTTCTGGAATTCCCTATCTGAAAACCTAGGAGATAATAACTTTGGAAAGAATTACTGTAGCTGTGTTCCAATTTCAGAAGACACATGTGTATAATTTATTTCAGTAGCATTTTCCATTGTTCCTCTCGACTGAAAAACATGAGATCTGAGAAAAGGTGGTAATTACTGACCATTTGTTACACACCGGAATGGGAGGAGTAGAGTTTGGCGACATTTAACCCAAAAGAATCAATGCAGAGAAAATAAATCTCCAGAGCTTTGTAGGTTAAAAATTCCAAATAGCCTAGAACCAAAAGCACAGTGGACTGTGTTAACTTTCTCCCTGCCTGTTGTTATGATGTTGCCAGGTTTTTATTTCCTCTGCAGAAGCTCAAAAAAAATGCCCACAGGGAGGGACCAGCCAGCAGCTGTCTTGCTGCAGGAGAGTTTGGCTACACACCAGTGTGAGATGTTTCCGTCTATAGAGAGTGGAGCCCCATGGCTGCTCTGGGGCACCTGGCTGCAGTACCAAAGGTGACACAGTAGGGACTACCCCAGCCTTGCCAACAAATGCTTGCAGCTACGGTGGGCTTTGGTCATTCATATCTCTGCTCGGGGAAGAGGGGCTATGGTGTGGAGTCATAACTGTTTTAGTCAGATGAAGCAGGAAAGATGAGCTAACAGAAGCACACTATGCCACAACTCCATCTCTTTCTTTCCATGACCCCTCTCTCACCCCCTACCCCTAAAATACAAAGAAAATATCGATATGTTGAATCAGTACCCGACTAGCCCACTCCCCAATATTTATTTTCC